GGGGGGGGGGGGGGATGGCTCGAACGTTGCGTAGCCCTATGGCCTTTTGTAGTACACTTGACAGGCGAAGAGTGAAAAGTACATGCGACACGCCCGAGATACATTCTCTAACGGATAACTATTATTATTAAGTTTTAGACGGAGAATCGAAATGGCGTCGCGATCGGACACGAATAATCAATGAGAGAGTATACTGTTAATTTATTCTCAGCGATTCACCATTGATGACTTTGTTTTTTTTTTTTTTTTTCGTACTTTTTTTTCTATCTGCGTCTCCGTCGCCACCCACCTGCAACGTATAACGCAAGGCGATTCGTAGATAGCTATTATACAAAAATAATGTAACATGACAGTCCGATTGCGCAGCTTTGAGAATACGGGGCCAATGAAAATTTCCTTCTGATTTATCATCGTGCGTTGTTTTATTTATTTTTTACTTATTTTTTTTTATTTATTGGCAAATTGTAAACGAGCGTCGTCGAGGAATCGTTAAACGGGAGTCGTCGTAGTGCTTGGAAGAAAGAGAAGAAAAAATAGAGAGAGAGGGCAAATGTGCGCTGAAAGAAAAAAAAACCAATTAAAATATCTCTACAGTGTGTGTATGCGTGTGTTTTATGGCGCGATGTGTGTATGTTTGTGCGGTGTGCGTGTACGATGGAAGGAGAGAGATTAAAGAGAAAAAAAGAATTGGAAAAATTATGGTAAAAGGATGTGGAGAGCGCGTCGGTAATATCCCATCGAATGTTAACGATAACAATAATTACAAGGCATGTCTCATGTTCTCGCGGTGGCAAGGGTCACCATAGGGCTACACGGTGGTATTCGTTAACGTAAGTCCGTATTACGTTAGAATTACAATCTGAATATGTACAACCCATTAAGAAGCATACGATTACGGGACGGAGAATGCGTGTTAACGGTGGAGAGAGGGGATGGGTTATGGGGATGATAACAGAGGGGATGTGGAAACACAAAAAACCCAATTCGAAATGCGAACGAATATTTTGGTGAGACGAGTAAGGAGAAGGAAGAAAGAAAAAAAAAAGATTAATGACAACTGACAATATTAAATATTGATTGAAAATAATGATATGCGGTTTTAAACGAGTGTGCGGTATCAGAGTATTGCATATAGATGAACGAATGCTTAATTTTTTTTTTTTAAATGACTGGTGTGCGTGTTTCTTTTGTAAAACGTGAACGGATCGCGTCGTGGCGACTTTTTTTTTTTTTTTTTTAATTAACATAGAACGTAATATCGCGTCTTACGATACGAGAATGACAGTATGTATGTATTATAATATCGAGAAATATCGTTTAAGCCATCGGCGAGTAACGCGAGGTTATAATGTAACACAACGAGGGACAGACCGACGTGTTCGTCATTTAATTCAAAAAGGCTACGCCCGATGATCTAGAAATTATTGACAGCTCGTAGATCGTCGTTTGGCGTCCCGACGACTGACGACGCGTCGCCACGTTATTTTGCCTTTTTTTTTTGTAATTACACAGACAATTGACACCGAACGTGTTTCAGATCCTCTTTTTTTATATATACACATATATATATATATATGTATATGTATATATATAAACTTGACACAGAGCGCGAGCGCATAAGCAAGGAAGCATTGGATCTCAGTATACATATATATTAGTGCGCGAGATATCATTCGAGTTTTTCACTTTATCAGCCTTACTTTATCCCTTGTGCAAAATTTATGTGATGTCGGAAGATTCGGCTTGGTAACGATTTCTTCGTCAAGGTTACCATTATTGGCTTACAGATGATCGATCATCAGCGACATAAACTATTGAACAAAAAACAATTACAACTCTGATTTCTTCTGTCATCTTTCTTCGTCAAGGTTACCATTATTGGCTTACAGATGATCGATCATCAGCGACATAAACTATTGAACAAAAAACAATTACAACTCTGATTTCTTCTGTCATCGAGAGCAGTATACATATATATATATATATATATATATATATATATATATTTATACATATATATATGTTGGTACGTGACGTATAAATAAGTACCATGTAAAGAAAAAGAAGAATGGCACGCGTTATCCGCGCGATGGCTTAAATTATCGTTTAAGTATTCGCAGATATAGCCACTCCACAAGTTCAATTTTATTTCTTTATTTTTTTCTCTCTCTCTCTCTCTCTCACTCTCTTTACCACTATCTATCTGTCTCTCTTATTTTCTCTTTATATCATTCTCTTCCTCTGTCTCTCACTGTCGCTTCGTTAAAATACACTAAGTTCTTGCAAACAATATTACATGGTTATGATTTATCTTCTTGGAGATGCAAAGACAAGTCTTCTCGTGGATAAACGGATAGAGAATGGAGGAACGTGCGAGGAGAAAAATTTTAATTTTTTATGCTACTTCCCTTTCGTCTTTTTTTTCATACTGGATATTATTATTATTATTATTATTATTACTACTACTACTACTACCACTACTACTACTACTATTATTATTATTATTATTATTATTATTATGTCTTCTCTCAAATACAATAGTAATATACTGTCTTATACTCTAATGTATATCTAGCTACAGCATTGAGAAATGTTAACACATAAGTACCTGGCACACTGGTCTATGCTCTCTTTGAACCAGCTCACTAGGAAATTTATGCCTTAGCATGCGTGGCACAGTGTGCTACAACACAATACACGAAGGTTAATTGTAGAGTCTGTGAGCGCGAGCGTTTGATGGGTCGCGAGGAGAAAGGTAACGAGCGCGGCGAACGAAAGTAACGGGAAGAAGCTGGTGTGGGAGCGAGGGAATATAAAAAGAGAATAAAAGAAAAAGAAATGAAAATGAGGAGAGGGTTAGAGGAAGAGAAATGATAATGATGCGTTTGCCACTAGTTTTTTTTTTTTTTTATATATCTAAAAGTGCGCCGTGATCTCACTGTACTTCGAAAATGTGTTCTTTTATTTAAAAAGAAAACTGTCTTTTTTTCTTCTTTTGATTTTCTTCATCTTTACGTCCCTCGAGCGCGTATGCTTTACGCCTTCGTACGTTGCCGTATCGTCATAGCCATTGTATTAGGATCCGTCTCTGGCACACCTTCTTCACAATGTTATTCCTCGATATGAAATTCACGACTTACGCCGGTCTCTTGGAGAAAAGTACGAGGCACAGATTTCTAGAGCACTTTAAGTCCGGACAGTCCGAGCCATGGGTTAATAATGCCTGCTTCGCGATTGGTCTTGTGGATGATGCCATGGTGGTTAGAAGGCTGGATGGGATTTTTTTTGAGACTGCGTTAAAGACGGGAGAGTCTCTCGGAGTCGTCTTCGGGAACTTGAGAGGGTTATCTTCGGTATGGGAGAGCCACGTGGTCGCGGCGTGGATGAGAATTTGAAAATTTTCAAGAGAATCGAGGATACTAGCATCCGGTTGACGTACCAAAGTCGAGTACGAAGTTTACTCGTGGATCTAAAAAAAAGTGATCCAGATTGATCGTTTGTCGGATGAATTTTTGTCAATAGAATTTTCGTGGTGCTGTCGAGGTAGTTTTTCGTTTCTTTTTGTCCGAGGCTCCATTTCTCTTAACCTTCGTGTAATTCGCATAATGTGTTATCATAATTATTGTTGGCTTTTGTTGTCAATTTCGTAAAGACGGAGTAACGTGCGTAAAGACTGCTAAATGATTACCTGTTATTTGGATAAATCCAAAATTGAACGACGAACAAAAAGTAAAGTGGGAGGATACGAATTCGTGTGAATTAGGCGGAAATTCTTAATTGTCTTATCGAGACGGTCGTAGGTTAATGACACTTGTACGCGACTCAATAGCGAACGATCCCCTTATGAAGAGTTAATAAATAAATGATTAAACGAAGGATTAAATGAAAAAATGCGATGGAAATGATAACTGATGATGATCAACCCGTTCGGTACATTCTCAACATATCTAAATCAATCTGAGCAGGTTTCAGAATGGCAGAATGAATTGTGTCAATTAATACATTCATTTAACCCTAGGACTGTCCAGATGTATTGTTGCAGGAACATGCACCTTAACGATAATTATTATTGAACATATATTGTAATTTGTAAGATGCTCAGAACGAGTCAAGTTTCCAGTACATAGAACATGTATGTTGTATAAAAATATCTTGGAAAGAGAAAACAAAAATTTTATATACCTGCTGAAAATTAAATGCAACTTTTATTCACTGTTTTATAATAAATATATGAAACATTATTTATTGTTTTTTTATTATAGCGTCGTGACGCACGAGCGATGTTTACCCTAACATCACGATAAACGTGATAATACTGATAATATTATTTCAGTATTGTCTTTGTAATAATGTTAATCAATTGGATAGTGTTCGTTTAGGGTTTATCTCTTTTTTTTTTATTATCCAAGAATCCCACCTTGCTGCTACTTTTTTTTGGTTATGATTAATATCATTTGTGTAACTTTTATTCGGTATAATTTGACTTTTTCGTTTTTGCAATATCGCAGGGTCGTTACGAAAATAGGGATTTTAATGAAATTTTGACAATTTAATCCAGCGGCAGGTTCATGTTTTAGAGTATCTTACAAAGTGCTCGCGTTCATTAACGTTGTCAGTCAATACTTAAATTTTATCAGAGCGAAACTTCTGGTCGTAGGTTGGCGAGTGAAATTTTTGAAAAATTACAAATCTTTCATCTAACTCGCTCACGTGTTTTCGTTCTAGTCTGTCCTAGGGCTAAATCAAAATTAGTCAGCGAAAAATATTAGCGGATACGCAGCGTAATAATTTTTTAAAAATTTATCCAATCTTCGTATCCCGAAGCTGGGACAGTAAGTTACACGAGGATAACCTGATTTCTGTTTTTGGCAGTTGAAAAATGAAATTTCTTTTTAAAATAATAATGAAAATCTATTGCTAATTCCACGACCTGAAATATCATTTGTATCCTCTGCGTTGAGATTCGGTAATCGTGATTGTTTGAAATAATATTAGGATCCTTGGTTGATCGACAAAAACCGTTGAAAAGAAGATCTAAACAAGTGTGAAATTTATCGAGTTAATTCGAAAGAGTGTCGAACACGTTAAATTTGTTCTTTAAAAAGAATGCCGCTTACTTTACTTCGATTTAACCATCTTTTTTTTTTTAATATCTTTATTTCTTCTCTTGTTCTTATAATTACTATATCAGCCTAGCGATAATTGGAAAGCGATTGGCCCACGCGCGGTCGACGCTTACCATCCGACTTGAACTAAGCACACTATTTTTTTAGTAAACGTCAACTACAATAGATACCATTGACTATTGTAAGTGAACATTTAGTACAAATGAAAGCTCGTTATTTACACGAGCTAAGGGCAAACCTTGCTTTTATAACGATGGAATCTATATACGTAGTAATAATTTCGAGAATAATTCCCAACGCGTAGATGCGTAGAGAAACAACAAAAAAAAAGAACAAAAGATGCTTCACACCCTATTATCAATATGGATTCCAAGCATTCCTGCCTGTATAAATACTCCTGTAAGAATGAATGAACCGATTACGATCGTGTATTTTTTAGTTTTACACGTAACTTCTTCATCCTTGTTTTGAGTAGGGAAAGACAGGGATAAAAAAAAACGAAAACGATGGAGAAGCAATAAAATTAATTTTTCATATTTTTAATCAAACCCGCGTTAGCAGCTTATTTTAATATACAGTATCTATAACGTATTATATCATCTCGTCTTTTTATCATAATATTATTTTTATAATTTTCATTTAGCAACAGCGAATGGATCGTAAAACACTAACTTGTCGTTTTGCGCTTTAAAGAGAAAAATTAATATATCAAAGTCTTAAGATGGATTGGATATTTCTAGAATTCACGAAGAAAGTAAATTAATAATCCACTCGAGTCCCACATTTTGGGGTTGAAATCGATACGAAGACTTTTTCTACGCTTTGTATTTGTTTGGAAGACAAAAACAAGAAAAACATTGACAAATATCGTTTAATCGATGGACGCCATTCATTCCCCTGTATTTATCTTATTGCGCCGAACAATTAATTTTTTTTTGTATTTCAACAAAATAAAATAATTGTAACGGAATAATGTCGGAGCGCTACCGCGGTTTTAAACAGACACAGAAACAGATACGAAACAAACACGTAAATTTTGGTTACTTTATGAAATGTCTATGTAACAATCCTGTGCGTGAAAACTTTTATCCAGATTTTCCTTTACTTTAGTATTTTGACTTATGGGCTTTGATACTATAATAACGAAATACTCTTTTTCCTCCCCTGTTCCTAATTAAATCATTAATTTAAGCATCATCTCTCATTTATATTATACATACATAAACATGATTCATCCTGATTATTTCTATTGTTTCTTTTCTGTCCTTTCCTTTCATTATTACACATTAATTATCAATCAAGTTACACCGTATAGTGATACACTATACATATTAAGATATAATTATAATAAACTATAATGATTTCTATTGCGAATGAGCCACCAGTTTTATTACTGAAAAACGTGTACGAGGTGACTTACATATGTTTCGGATACCGATTAAAGAAAAGAAAGAATGAAAAATTGTCATGCAGACTTAGCGCGTATTATTGCGAATTTTCCTTTGCGATTGATAGTTACAAATAGTTATAATAATAATTCATAAAAATATACAATTGGTATTATATTCTATGCAACCTACGTTTCTCAATATGGAATGGTGAGCATTGACTTTGGCTCCGACAGTGCATATGACAAGAGATTTTAACGACTTGTCAAACTTTAAAGTCAACGTCAGCGACTAATAAGGATTATTGAAAAGAATGTTCATGAACAAATAATTAATAAATGGATATCAATGTCGGAGAATGTTATATAAATATTGTAACCCTGATTCCAGTATAACAAGTCCGGTTCACCTTACCTCTCCATAGTGAGAGAATTTTTCTGCGCAACTTGTTAAACGTATGGTTCTTATTACACGATTAGTTTAATTATTATTTATCAGCGTAACGATGTATGTACTTGTTCCAATAATAATGACAGTATGCACTTTTATTTTTATCGGTAAAGTATAAATGAAAAAAAAAGTGTACCTTTTTATATTACTGTTAAGTCGCCTTACATAAATAAAATTTAAAAAAGAACTATATCATCAAAGTCATTATCATTCAATGAACCAATCACAAGTCTATCCTACTTAGTATCTAATTAATGTCTCCTTGATGCTTCTTTTCACACTTATGTACCATTATTATTTGCTGTTATTGTATTTTGACGCAGTCTCGTTTACGCGACGAAATATACTCTTAAATACATGGCCTGTAATTAGTCACTGATCTTATATCCGCGTTAATTCAATTAGCTATTACAATATTAAATGAACCAAAAGCATTGTTCGATGCATCCGCAACAAAATTTATTTGTAAAGACAAAAATAATTAACACTGGGAAACTCGATATTATTACTGCTTTTGAATTGAAGAATATATGAACACTATAAGAATCGAGCAGTTTTTACACGATAGGATCACAGATAAGTCGTGTTAGATTTTTGTTTACCGTTCCACTCGCAGGAACACAACAATTGTAGTACAACAATGGGAACAAACAGGTAACAATGGAAAAATCTGTCGCACGATCCCTCACACGTTATTTAAAAATGAATGGAATTATTAATACTATCGTTTGTATAAAAGGCCAGCTTTTAATTATCTTTAATACATATTAGACGCATTATATTTATATCTATACACAGATATATATATATATATATATATATATATATATATATATATATATTCCGATATATATATATATATATAGGTATACGTTGGTACACTAAATAAAATTTTTGTATGTACAAATTTTCTATAAAAGCATTACTGATTATAGACCCATGTATTGAGGCGAGGAGGAAAACGTATTTCTCGTAGAATTGCTCTTCTTTCTCGAATCTTCATTATTCGGTAGGTCGCTGTGAAAGAAACAACGTGACGCGTAAACTCAAGAATTTTGAATGATCATAAATTTTCAAATTGATTCGATCCTTTGTCTTTCGTTCGATTCAACGCTTAGAGCGATTCTACTTGATCAAGATTAATAAGACTGCGCTGAATCTCTATTAGAGTTTCGTCGCAGAGTCTCATAGACTGATGTAATGAAGTATGTGTGAGTTTATCAGTTTATTATTCGTTCACTGTTTGGATATTCGTGATTGACATACCCAAAGAAAGGCATCAGAGATACAAGAGTTTGTCTACTCGGCCTTGAAGAAAATGCTGGTGAACACTGAGCCAATCGACCGACGACTCTTCGTAACCATTGCTGTAGCTTTTGCCTCCTCTCTTCTACGAATTTGGCATCCTGAAACATGCAAAATTATAGGTTTTACAGAAAACTGCATATGTCATCTACCAGACCCACTGTATGTTGTTTCAGAATTGCGACTAGATCCTTTATTAACATGCACAACAATTACCTTATTTCCTATTGTCTTTTTTGGTGGAAATTCAAAAGTCGTCACAATGGCGTCGTGCTTTTTGAGCTCCTTGTAGAGAGCATAAAATTGCGCATAACGCCGATAAATATTCCACTCGGTGTCCCTGATACGGACGTATATCTGTAACAAAGATCGTATTACGCATAACAGAGATTTTTTATATCGCCCAGTAGCGATAAGATTCTTTTACATTGAATATGTAGAAATAATTTTTTGTTTAATGCACTCAAATATTATTCTTTAAAATCGTTTACCTGGTAGACATGATGTACATCAGATGATTGTCCGGTAAGGAAAGCTGATGGTATCCATATATGAATAAGACAAGGAGGTTCTGAAGGTAAATCATCCTCACTTAACGGACCACGAAGACATTCCAGTTCGGCTTGCAGTAACTTTACCAGCCTGTCCCTGTTATAAAAGCCAAGTGATACAAGTATCAGTTTCGTATAATATCACATATGTCATGCAGACTCATGTATTATCTTGATAAAACGTTTCTGTTGTGATCATCTTACCGGTTTGTCAACTGCATTGTCAATCTGGCATTGAATTCCATAAGTTCTGCATGCATTTCGGCGACTTGAATCAGTTTATCCTGATACTGCTGTGCTTCGCTATGATAATCCAAAGACTGTTCCTCCTCAGATACTGTAGTAGAGTCCGAATCTCTCCTCAACATTTGAACAGCAGTTACGTACTTGCGTAATTGCTGTCGCAAAAGTTCGTTCTCTCTATCGTGATACAAAATAGTAACGTCAATGGAATATCAGAATTTGAATTACACTGTCATTAAAGACTGTTAACATTACCTATTTAAAGTTTGTAATTGCAGATCGTGCCTTTCAAGATAGTCTTGATGCTGCCTTTGAAATCTGGCCAGCTGTAATCTACTTGTTACAGCATCTTCCCTAGCCTGCTCTAAAACCTCACCCATAGCTATTAATCTAATACGCAGAGCATCTACGTCAAGGTTCTCAGCATCTGCATGCATATCCAGACCCACCAGTGGCTCTGTAGCTTCTACAGCAGCTTCCGTAACCTCTGTAGACTCCTAATACAAAATTCCCATGTAATTTACTGTTAAATATCCAGACGAGACTTTTTAATAAAATTACTATCTGGTAGTATAATAAACTTACGTCTGGGTACATTGAGGGTGTAACTAAAAGATCATCTAGAGTTTGTTCTAATGGAGAAACAGGAACAAGTCCTCCCATATTTCCTGAATCCGTAATCGGCGTTAATACTCTCTCCTCATCAAGAGATTCACTACAAGACCAATCCACTGGCTTCACATTCAGGACTATATTACTGGTATCGCGTTGCTGTTGTACTGGCAATGGGAAAACGGAAGGAGATAGCGAGTTTTTGGTAGACGCTACTATCGGAGAATTGAGACAAGTTGGCGGAGCGCTGACGGATACGGCAGATATACTAAAATCACGTTCTTCCTGCTCCTCTTCCTCTTCGTTATCAAACGATATAATATGAGTTGGCACTTTCTTTCGGCGCTTCTCCAAATCCGTACTTGACGTGCCTAGATGAATAAAAAAAGCTATGAAACAGATGGCCAGTACTTATTGTATCTCAATACGATAAGATGTATTAATTTGTAATGTAATTATAATGGTTGTATGCCTACCTGATACTGCTTATTATTAAAGTAAGAAAGGAATGAATACCTGGTATTACGGACGAAATAATTGGCTCTGATTGCGAAACTCTGCACCTGCCAATTTCGCTTCCACCGGATCTGTCGTCGAGCTCTTCGTTGTCTATCCTTATGGCAAATAGAATAGTTCCAAGACCTAGTATTACAATATTGGATTATTAAGGGCCAATAAGCTCTTCAGGATTTAGTGCTAATACATGCTTCAGAGGGAAAGGATATCATTTTATGACACGAATATAAACATTGTTATTGAAAGGCACTGAAAACAAACCTGCAGCTACGTGTGGTAGCACGGATGATCTCTCCTGGTCGAGTATAAATGCCCATTCTTCGTAAAATGGACTAAGGGTGTCAGAATTAATTATGGCGTGTAAATGACGCTCAAGAGATCGTTCATTTAAGGCTGCTCTGAGCCACGCACGACCACGACCGTAATCCGTATGAACTTTTCTTAAGACACAGAAGCGTTCTTGCTCATGCCATGTGAGCTGCTCTCGAATACATGGCCAGAATGCCATATCTGGAATGCTTGTAGTCTTTGAGGACCCACCAGAGACCAAGTCGGATACATGTCTATTTAACAAACAGGTAGAATTACAGGTAAATACTGGCTATTGATAGCCTAAAACAAAACGTATGGATTAAAGGGTGAAACTTGAGACTGTATGGTCTATATCATTTTTCCAAAATGCTTGCAATGTAGTATGATTCATATGTATACAAGAGATAAGTCTTACACTAGTCAAACAGTCCTGCTACTACTGTTTTAAAAGAAATAACACAGGAAGAAGTTATATACAAAGTTTATCACTGACTGTACTATACTTAAAACTACTCTTTACTTAGGACCTTAAAAAATTTGGTCTGGGAATAATTTTAACATAATTCAAATACCTTAACGCAGAATTGAGTTTCTCAATACGATTAATACGCAGTCCATGGCTAAAAATCTGCTCAAATATATAACACAACTGAGATACGCATGCCTCTGACTCTGTTGCCAATTCTGCACGACCACCAAATCTAACATGACACTGTTTTGCAGCCGCAAGGAGATCTTCTTGTAACTTTTGCCTATCAGCGGTGTGGTTGGACATTTGATTGTTATCTGCTATGTTATGCGATCCTGGCACTATGGCCGACATCATACGCAGAGCCTATAAAACGATTAATTAATTATGGAGCTGTTTACTATTTATTATCAATTCCATTTCATTGTGTGATACAAAACGGTATTATCATTGTATAAGTATACCTTACAGCATTTTATTGCAATTATGTAATTTTAAATAATGATCATCAACCAATACTAGAAAATTCAATTTTTTTTCGCAAAATTATTGATTTATACAGAGAAAGTTGCAAGAAGTATTGTAAATTATTCAATGTTAGCAAATTCTTGCAATTATTTTAAATCTCTCCTTCACCTACGCCTTGTTGTGCTAATTAGGTGACATGACAACACATTTATTTTCGTACAGCTTTTGAAGATTTAAACTAATGAACGTACTAAAAAAGTGAAAGCCTAACTGTATAAAGAACAATCAAAATACTAACCATAAGAGCTGATCCAAAGAATTTGATGCTAGTATTACGCTGTCAACAAATTACAATCATTAGGTGCCAAACATTCACGAAAATATCATGCAAGTAAAATTCACAAGTTTGATCACATAACACGCTAACACTTCTTACGTTGTTATAACAATTTTCAACATAACAAATGCTGAACACGATACTTCAAAATGCAGAGGTACTAAATGATGGCTAGTCAAATGATTTCATTATGGCATCACAACGAAACTTGGAATAAAAATTATCGATGAGAAGCAATGAAGTGACGAAGCCCACAGAGGGGCGGAATTTACTTTGTCCTCGTTCTTTTCCTTTCTACCATTGTCGTATACAACGTAGAAAATCTCACGCGATACATTAAACTGAAGGCAAAATGCGCAATCCGCAAAGTAGCGATGTTATTATTCAATTACAGCTTTCTTTATTTCTGACTGTTGGTAGAAAACATTGAGAGGATCAATTGTTGTAAAAATTGTCCTCATCTTGATACTTACAATTTTTAGAGTATTATACGTAATCAATAACTGTGAAACTTCAACTAAGAAAGTACAAAATTGATTTTATGCATTTGTATTTGTGTTGGATAAGTTACTCCATCGGTAAAATTGAGTTGGACAAAGATACGCGAATGACAGCGTTGCTCTGCACAACTTTAATCCTAACTAAATGCTTAATTATTTTGGTTGAAATTGTTGATGATCAGCTATTGACAGACAGCTGAGTTGTGATTTTGGAGCAGGTTGACAATTGTAGTGGAGTTTGAAGGTTTTTTCAATAGTTTGTAAAATACGTGTTATGAAATGGGCTCATTGACAAGTAGGCAAAATGCTGGGGTTGAAGAAGTTGATATTGTCTCAAATCATGCATACAAATATCCTCCACGATCTGGTTAGTGTAAGATTTCATTTAATTTCTCATATCACATTTTTTTGACATTCTTTTTCTAATTTTTTATAACTTGGTTAGATCGTAAAGGTGATACTTGTTTTATATTTTACGATAATGTTGCAGTGTTCATCCTATACACATTTTCTTTTATTCACAATTAATATGCAAACTTTTCTTTCAGGAAGTTATTTTGGTAGTCATTTTATAATGGGAGGTGAGAGATTTGACACACCTCAACCAGAAGCTTATCTTTTTGGAGAGAATGCGGATCTAAACTTCTTAGGAAGTAGGCCAACCCCGGTAAGTCTATTCTTACGCTTAAATTTATAAACAAGCCATTGATGTAGATTAATGAGTATTACTTTCAGTTTCCATATCCACCACCTCAAGCTAATGATCCTACGAAAACACTAAAAAGCTTGGTGAATATAAGAAAAGAATCACTACGTTTAGTTCGCAATGTAGATCAGACATCTACTTCCTCTCAGCATCATAATGCTAAGCATTATGGAGATGGAGATACCGATAACAAACCCACAAGATTCAACATTGAATTTACATTTGATTGTGACGTAAGATGTGCTATCACAATTTATTATTTTTGTACAGAAGATGTCTCAGCTAACGGAGTTGTGTAAGTCAAATCATCCTACTTTTACAATGTAATTATTTATTCTATTATTACTACTTAAAACTTTTAATTAATCAGATACTCTCCACGGGATCCTTCTATGAATTCAGAGACATACCATTACAAGAAAGGTGCTAATCAACAGTTCTGTCAAACGTCACATGTATTTGATCCAACTTTTTATAATGAGGAGGACCTGTTGTATAATCCTGAACGAGAAGTACGTTTCATATCCTGTTTAACATATCATTTTTCAAGAATATTGTTATTACTTTTTATAATAATATAAATGTCCTGTAGATTATTCCAATAGCCATTCATTGTGTCGCTGAGGAAGGCTCCGAAGAACCAAAACAGTCTCACACAACAATAGCCGTAGTAGAAAAACATTCGGATGGCTCATATGTATTGAAAGCGCTTAAACAGAAACTGTACGTGGATGGACTTTGCTACTTGGTACAGGAAATATACGGTATTGAAAATAAAAACACAGAAAATACCAAGGTAATTTATAGAGAACCGTACCCATGTATTTTACACTAACAATTGCAGCTTTACCACTTTCTTTGAACTCTTTAAAATGTTCGGTCGTAGTGAAAATTGTAATTTATTATTTTAATGTCCAACAGCAACAAAGCAGTGATGAGGACACAGAAGACAGTGGTTCCGAATGTGTAATTTGCATGTGCGACGTGCGCGATACTTTAATCTTACCTTGTAGGCATTTATGTCTGTGTAACGGATGCGCAGATTCATTAAGATATCAAGCAAATAATTGTCCAATATGTCGGGCTCCATTTAGAGCTCTTTTGCAAATCAAAGCGCTTCAGAAAGCCACTGGAGGAGTTATATCAAATCCGCCACTGCCAGAGGTAGCACAACCTCATCTCATTTTACAACTAGCATTATTAGAATAACATAAACAAGTTTTATAAAATGATTCAGGGTAGCTGTGAAGTCATACCATCTGGGTACGAAGCAGTTTCATTAATAGAGGCTTTAAACGGACCGTACACACCAAGAGCTACTGTACTGCCTTCAGAATCTTTGGAGACTCCAGACACAGATACAGCTAGTGCGATTCAAGCAGCAGAGGCACTAAATAGGTATTAAAAAAGATGCCAACAATTTTTGCCTACATTGAAATTCGCATCTGTATCACATTTCATTTCGTTATACATTTATAAGATCGCCTTGTAAACGATCATTCATGTCTAACTTCATTTGACCCTTTAACCATTGCTTGAAAATAATCCGATGAACTGATCGTGTAACTTCTCATCATAAAACTATTTGTTCTGTCATGCTTTTAAGAAATTTTATCCAATTCACTTTTTCTTGGTGACCGATACCCAATTGTTACTATTGCTCAGTATGTGCAATTAATTACACTGCACAGTTAAAGGGTTAAACCGTCTGTATAAGATATGAGTAGTTGTCATAAATCAATAACACAGATGGTAGAAAAACTACCTCGTTATAGATCAACCGAACGTACTCCAGTCTCAAAACACGCATCTCCAAAAGATACTGAGAAATCACCAAGAACTAGTGGTGGTCCTTGTCCAACACCCGAGTTCCGAATGTCTGTTCTGCTTGCAAGGGATGAAAATTCTGGCTCTCAAAAGGATCTCCATAGTCGTTCCCCAGCATCAAGGGCAAAGTTCACGAATCGTCCTCGTGACAAAACGGCTCTTAGAACAAGAGACACCCTGAGACTGGTTAATGAAAAACAATCATCTATTGGCGATGAGGTATTGAGTGCTTTGTACTCCTTAGGTATATTGTAATGGTACAAAAGTAACCATTCGACAAAGTAAAACTGAATTTCATGATTAACTTTGATTCTACATTTAAAACATCATTATACAGGGTCAGGATGAGGATAGCGAAGCAGAGAAATTGTCCCCATTGTTGGATGCAGCTACTAGCACCGAAGCACTTGACGCTCATATTCATCCTATCGATGACACCGATATTGATAACGAAATGCAAACAGAAAATGATAATGCAGCTAAAGTGATATGCAGCTGCGAGAAAGGATTTCATTAACAACATTCATTATTCCATTCAGACTCTCTTTTTTCAAGTTATGCGAAACGCGCATCTTCGAGCATCACGTTTCAACCACTTGGTACCCGAAATAGCGTAGATTATTTTTGTTCTCTTCCACCCTTTGATATTATAAACATATGACTAAATCAGGCAAGGAATTACGTGACTTTCACATTGAGGTTCGAATATGCCACCGAAGGATTATGAATATACTATGTAGATAGAATTTAGTATTCATATTTAATAACTGGTTCTGGATAATTTTACATAACATCGTCGGTATAACACGAGTTTGTGATTTACCATTTCCCTTTCTATGGACTATTTTGTAGGTATTGAACTATTTTTTCATAGATATATTCCTGTATATATATTAAGTACGTGAACTACTATATATGTATAGTGGTAAATTTTGACAGCTGTCACGCAATCACTTCAACTTAGCAAAAATAGTTGCTACGAGTGCGAGAGAGACGGGCTTAACAGTATTTATAGTGGTTCGATTAGCGAGTCTTCATCTTTAATTTCGTGGAATTTTATAACAGTAAAATATGGTTGACAAACTCACATTAGGTGGTACACAAACTCTCTACTAACTTCATTTAGTTTGTATTTTTAAGAATTAAATAAGATTACTTGACATGACAACGAATCGCATTTTTATTATTCCTTAATCCTTAATTATCTATAGTGAAAGTTGTTCGAGGACACTACCATAGGATACTGATTGAAAAAAGTGAAATAGCTTAATAAAAGTTTATTAGGTTCTGACTTACAACAAATCAGTATATTTTAGGCTGTTGCCAAAGATTCCCTGAACTTTTTCCAGTGATCGAGAGGTCCATGTTCTGGAAGATACTTGACGTTGCAGCCGTCAGGAGCAAGTCGACCTGCTGTCTTCAGTTCTTCGTATTCAGCACGGTCGTACTTGGTGAATCCCCATTTCTTGGAGACGTAGATCTTTTGACGACCTGGGAACTTGAATTTGGCACGACGCAATGCCTCGATGACGGCAGCCTTATGACGGTCAGAAGACCGAACACTCATGATGGGCTGTCCGATGTGAACACGAGCCACAGTACCCTGAGGCTTTCCAAACGCTCCTCTCATTCCAGTCTGGAGCCTGCATAACAATGTACATAGCAGTTAGAAATAACTTATTATAAAATTCCATACTAAAGATATTGACTGTAATAATATTATTTAAAATATAAGTAAGATACAAAGCATATATTAAAGATCAATAACTCACCTATCAGCTCCAGCGCACGACAACATTTTATTGATGCGAATAACATGGAAAGGATGGAGTCGCATTCGAATATGGAATTGATCCTTTCCAGCATTTTTCACCATGTACTTGTTAGCACAGATACGTCCAGCCTCAAGAGCTTCGGAGCTCAGTTGTTCGTATTCATCTGATACCAAGTGTACACATAGTGGGAAATCTTCGACCAATGCCTTCTTCTTTCCCAAATCAAATATACGGATCTTAGGATCAGGGACACCACGACAGAACCGTGACTTTGGGTATGGCTTGTTCTTGCAGTAACGATAGCTTTAAAAAAAAAATAATACGATTATCTGATGCAACTCATGAAAATATGTGTAATCAAGTACTCAATTACATGATGTGGTGAAATTATTGCACTAATGCAATATGTTTCGATTAAGCTGTTTATATGCAATAAAATTTGAACTATGTTCAATAACTTATACACGACAATTAAAAATTCATAAAGAATCTTCAAAATGTCGATTAAAATATGATAACATCTTATTCCCGTTATATCTGTCTAGATTAAAGCATGATATTCACTCACCATCGCGCTGGTCGGCGCCCCATTTTGGCCTGAAATAACAAAAATATATTAAGAATATCACTCAAATATTATCACAACTTAATTATAAATAAATTTAAAAGTATTATGACACACAGAATATTAAATACAGTATAGGATGTGTCCAGATTACTTGGATAAACTATAAAACGAACCTACCGACTCTTCACAAGCTAAACAAGAGACACGAAAAGGAAGTTGGCTTCTAACGAGAAGAGCGCAGTGAAGTTGCTTATATCCGGTATCTCAAGAAATCTGTAGATGGGAAACTGTAACAGAAAAATAGAAAGCATCTTGTCGATAAAGTACCTGATAAAACAATTTTCCAATAATATACAAACGAATTAAATGAATCCACCGTAAGAAATTCACATCTTAATATCATTAATGCGAATTATTAAAGTATTCGCTCTTTTTTTATTATTCAAAGAACTAGTATGTCTCTTTGTCGCTCATTGCGATACAGGTTTGTAAAATCGAATATGAAGAATATGTCGATTCTTACGAAAGATTCAGTCAAAAGTTTCTAATACAATTGTGTGGTATGGAGGAACATAAAAATGTTGAAATAGAGTTAGAGAATATATTATGATTTAACCTTATAATGGAGGTTGTTGAATTACCTGAAGAAGTTCCTGCAAGAAGTCAATTTACTGTCGATGATTTGGACATAGAAATTTTACCACTGATTTATGAAATCATTCGAAGGTTTGTTATCCTAGTTATAACCTACATTACCACCGTGCGCCGAAAAATCGGAAACTGACTGGTTATTTGTACTTTCTCGATGTATACGTTCTATATTTAGTGTTTTTTTGCGCCGTACTAAACTTCTGATAATAAGATTATAAATATATTGTTACACAACACAGGTTGCATTAGCTCCTTAAAAATAAGTTGCTCAGTATTTTCTGTAGTTACCCTGATACTTGGTAATTTTTAACTTCAATCGTATCAGTTTAGCCGGTAATTATCATTTTTACTGTATTTTATTACCCATTCTTATTGCAAATATAAATTGATTATGCAATGCATGGTGGTTGTGATATCGTTTATCTCATTATCTAGCTAGTTTTGTTAATCTCTACTGGTTGCTGATGATTGCAGTGCAGCATGTCTATCAGCTGTAAATTTTTTATTCTGGTTCATTAACTTTGTTATATCCCTTTTGTATGCAATTTTAATATTTCTAGCCAGTAAACTACGATACATTGCTGCATGTCGATCATGAGTACATTGATTGACTATTATGGCAAAACAATATGTTGCAAATAATTTTTAATTTTTTTTTTGTTACCAGTGTAGAAAAAGATCCTCACGATACAACACAAAAAGCAAAAGAGTCTCAAGATACTAGTCATAAGATTTTGGAGCTACAGAAAAAGTTGGATTCCACAAGAGCACAGGTACTAGTAAAATTTGTGTAAAATGAAAATAATATATTCTAAATAGTAATGATGAATGTTGAATGCACTATTAGATAGAATTTTGCAAAATCATTGAAGATTTCATTATTGAATTAACTGCGATAAGATAACAGGCTGACGTTTGTTTGTCTTAAGTACAAAATCAGCAGATATAATTTTCTGCTATATCAAAATTTCTAAAAAATTTCTGAGTAGTCTTGAAATGAAATTAATTAATTTTCAGATAAAGAGATTGCCAGGAATCGAATACAGCAAAGAGGAGCAACTCCAAAAGTTAGAAACTCTACGCAAACAGCTCAGACTGAAACGTGAACTTCTCTTGAAGTATCGTAATATGTGCACATTTGAGGTGCCCAAAGTATAAAGTGTTAAAAAAAAATTAGCAGACTTCGTTCCCACACAAAAATCAGCATGGTTTTACGCTTCATTTTACGATACTTGGCAAATAACGAACGTGTCATCGATAAATTGGCCGAATCGAAACCCGTGAGACGTGCTGCCCGATTCGTAGTGTACCTATTGAGTCGTACAAGTACAATTAGTGGTGCACATCGACTTCCTTCAGATCCGAAAGAATTGGGAAAGCAATTGAAGGATATCGCTCAACGATTCTCAGCAAATTTGAAGGACGAGATTCAGGACGCTAAAGAGGAATTAAAGAAGAGAAAGACAAAATAGCCAAAATTGCTAGTCCCAATGTAGCATTTAATTAGTTTCAGGTAAAAAGCTGGCAATTCGTCTAATGTCTCCAATAAATTTCTTTTGATTGCTTCTGAAATTCGCTTTTTATATGCAAATATATATCTGAAGTCTTATTCTTTTCTCATCATGTCGTATAAAGCATCAGGCACCATATCCTTAGATATCCACAGAAACGAATACAATAGATTCGGTGGACCTGTCACATTTACCAATCGCTACTTGAAAGTTAAACCCCGTGAAATTGTGTTACGAGCTGCAGCATCTCTTGCTCCACCCTGTACTAAATTTTTTAAAAGAACAGAGCTTGATTTAATTGGTCCTTTGATAGCCCTTGTTATCCTAATAATGATAATTCATTATGGATACATTTTCAAGGATCCAACTGCCACCGATAGCTTCATCGCTCCTATAAGTACAGTTTTCAGTTATGCTGTGTTTGTACCTATTGTTGGATTTATAATTTGCAAATTTGCTAGAGCAGCGGTAACTTTTTGGGACATTGCAACTTTATTGGGATACGGATTATATTCACATATAATTATACTCTGCATGAATCTTGTAATTTATCAGGAAGAGAGTAATACTTTCTTCTTTATTTGTCTTTTTATTTTTGGTGGATCCAGTGCACTTAGAATGTCAATTATTCTATTAAGCACTATTCCTAAACCTGCTGCGAGATTACTCGTATGTTCTACACTCTTTATTATTCATCTTCTTTATGCGATTTTCTTGTACTTTACTTATATGCATCCCACATTTGTTTATGGGATTGGAAATTCTAAGAAAGTTTCAAATGTAATTCATAATAATTTGTGACACTGTTTCTATAATCATTTTTATTTAGGCTTTGTTCTTTACCTTCTAGAAAAATTTAACAATTTATAGATAATAATAAAATTCAGATATACGCTTTATAGATTAAATTTAAAAAATTTCCTGATCCACCAGGTGAATATAATTTAGAAAATTCTTTTTCACTTTACAATGTATATGACTGAACTCTAATATTGCAATAAATATTTATACGTACAGGTAAAATTGTAAGTATTGATTATAAATTAACACATGTGAATTTATATAGAAAGTTCCTTACGTGTACTGTTCATAGCATTGCTGATCATATAAACTCTTAAATAATAGTTAAATGCAAAAGATTAATAAGTTTCGTTTTTCTCTTGAAATTTTAAATATATTATTGCCGTACAGAAAAATTTTATCAAACATGAAACCAAACTTATACAAAAGGTCTACAATCAGGTAGTCACTGTTTTTAAAATATGTTGATTTATGTGAATAAAAAAAAAAGATACAAGCACATTGTACATACATAGGAGTTTGATTGCTAGTAATACAATATAATAGAATAGAGCAATGACGTATAGGTTTTCGAAAACTTCATAAGAATTTATTATGTAACATAGCTTCTTTACATTTAGTACTAATATAGAAATCAGTCAAATATAATAAATTGTGAATTATATATTTGATAGTGCTTGTAACGTTAGGTATCCTTACATTTCGCAACAAAAAGAACAAATCAAACAAATACAGAGACAAAATAGACATTTCTCTTCTTCTCCTTATCTTTCAGTTATTACGAGAATAAGATACAAAAAAGTATTTTATATTAATTTCTCATCTCGCTCTCACGTATCGAGCAAAGTTTCCGAAAAACGGTGAACATAAATAATAAAATTTATCCTTTCTCTGTAATAACTGCAATCGATAAAATGAATTATATCTCTGAATTATACTTCAGAAATTTATCTCTGGATTTATCTCTGTTCAGCGTATTGAGACACTAAACGAAAATAAAAAATATATTAATTCGTATAACGTACCATTGACAAAAAAAGTTATGGATGATGCACGTTTTTTTTAAAGATCATATTAGATTGTCAAAAACAGTCAGACTATTATTATTATACTAATAACTTTATTTTTCTAAATCACAGATGTTACTTTTCAACTGAAAGGAGGTCAAATATATAGCACAGAGAAATCAAAATCCAAAGAAATTTCAATACAATATAGACTCCCAACATAAAATTGCGACGATGTTCTTTAGACAAGATATAGTTTGCCAAATGTTAATATAAAAAGGAAGGAACGCAATCATGTACCAATATTGGAATAAGTATTCGATGATAATCAATCACTGCCAAACTCTCTTGTGTATGAAAATTTCTGTACTTGGTACTTACTCAAGTTAATGGACAATGTTCCTAAATACGCAAAATGAACAAATGCCAAAATACAAGCGTGAAGACCATTTGTACTGTTACCTTATTATTTCTAAAAGTAGAACCTGCCTGATTACTGCGCATTAATTAATGACGGATGTAACAAAAGACTCATTGTTTTTATCATACTGAAAAATATCATTGCTAAAACAACTCATGCACTTGATCTCGGTACATCAATTTTTGATTACACCTTAGCCGGTGGATTTTGCTCAGACAATGGCTGCACTATATTCGCTGTTGCATTGTGTGCTCTTCCGCCACGACGACCTCGACCTTTCTTAACCGATTGAGCTATACCTGATCTTTGTGGCATATTTTCACGCTTGTCTGGCTCGCCCTCAAACGTAGAGTTCTGATCAGCCATGTCTGACGTCTAATAATATCACAAATTACATTATAAACTTTAATAAACGGCGATAGTATTAATTTTTTGCTCAATAGAAACTTGCCTGTTGACTTGAACCATTTTGTCGATTCTGTTGAGTTTTATTAGGTTTATTTACTCGTGAATTTTGAAAGTGAGACGCACCAGTGTGTGGAATAAGGCGCAATACATTGCCCACAGCTTTAGTACGACCCTCGCGAAATACCATACGTTGTCCAGGTTTTATATACTCCGGATGCTTAATGAATCTGAAGTGTACCAATGCTTTGTCTCCTGTTCTCAAGCAATCTTGTGACATAGATAAAATTGAAGCAGTTTGTCTAATACTTCCACAATGAACTGTAATAAGAAAAAAAAATGAAAGTTGTGATGAACTGCAAGATAGTAGCTTGATTTAATTTCATTTCAATGATTCATTCTTTTACCCATAGCTTGATAACGAGAACTTATTGTAGTGGGGTGGTGTAATACTAAAATCTCTCCTTCGAACTCCCAACAGGCCTGTGGATTAAGAGCTGGTGAAACCATCACCATTCCCTTGCGTATCTGTGATCTCTTAATTTTCTTCAGGGCAAAACTTGCTGTTTGACCACCACGAACTTCGCGTACAGGCATTCTCTTTCTATGGATACTTTTTACAGCAATTTGTATGAAATGACCCAGAGGATCTGGTCCCAATAGTAGGGTATCATTTAGTTTTATGATACCTTTCAATGTCGTGCCTGAAACTACGGTACCTACTCCCTGAAAGACGCAATTAAAGAGATTAATCGTACAACTTCATTTTTTTATCTATAATATATGTTTTGAGGTAACGTTGTTCTATGATATTGAGGCATGCTTCTAAAGAATAATACATACAGGAACGGAATATGTGTCATCTATTTGGAACTCCGCTGGCTCATCATCGTGACTAGTCATACGGGCTGTTAAGAGATTTAGAAACATTTTCAACAGATGCAAATTATCTCCACTCACGTTCGATACTTGAAATATTGGACAGAGCCTGGAGGATAACGATAAAAATAGTGTAACCTTAAAGCTATGAAGAATCAATTCCTTTTTTCAATATGATTAAAAAAAAAAAAAGAAAAAGTATTGTAAGTACCTTTCTGATACAAAGTTTGTAGCGCTAATAACCACGTCATCTGAATTCTTAACCATAACAGGAACCTTTCTACAACCAGGAGATTTCAGAATTCTGACAAGTAGTCTTAAATTCTCTTGCAAGACATTCGGTGGACACATGTCAATTTTCGTAACTACAACAAATACAGGAACTGACAAAGCAAGAGCTAATCCCAAATGTTCTTTAGTCATTCCAACTATTCCTGCATTTGCGCCTACCATGAGCATCCCTAGAAATCAAATACGATAAAACGTTTGTAATATTTATGGAATGAAATTTAAAAAAGTTTGATTGCTTTTGTATATTTTACCAAAATCTGGAGCATGACCAGTCATACCAAAGACTGTAGTCTTAAGGTAACGTTCATGTCCGGCTAAATCAATGAATGTTATCACTTTTGATGATTTCTCACAAATCTTTACCCAATCCAAAGATCCATGTTCAGGTTTATTAACGACGTTGCCTGGACAAGAATATAAATAAATGTATAATTCATGTAATGAGATTGTTACTACATTAATTATTCGAAGTAAATACATACCGACACTATCAAAACCAAGAATATCATTTCCCACCGAACTAGTTCGCCCAGTTTCAGCTTCGTGCTTATGGCGAAACAGTTTTTGACGAGCCAAGCCACGGCCATTGTCTAGTTCCCCATGAGTTAACACTCCAAGTAGTGTTGATTTTCCAGCATCGACATTTCCGACTACAGCCACTCTAAAAAGTTGACACCATAAAACTTAGATTATTTTAAGTTTATTGTATCTATAAGCACTATGATACAGAGATTTTGTTAACCTGATTTCTAAGAAATCTTGCTGATCCAAGCGTTTTCTAACTAGATATTGTCCTGTTAGTCCCTTATCTACTTTACTCTGACGTAAGAGGACACAATCAGCTTCCAAAGTAGCAGCGAGAGATTGTAAAGTAGCCAATGATGCCTCATACTCATCTTCTTTCAATCCATCCTCTGAACCATCTTGCAACATTATGTATTTGTGTTACGAGAAAGTTGATTGTGAATACAAAGTATAAATATTCTTAGAAAATTTTGTATATATTTACCCTCCCCAATTCCAATATCAAATATTGTCTCACTCCCACCATCATGAATCCTTTCTTTCAAACGTCTCAGTAATAATTCATACTGATCCTCTGAAGGACTGACCAGTACATCCTGAAAATTTGAAGAAAAGAGTTGTGTTTTTAATAATATTTAATAGTAACTTTTTTTAAATTAATCATTATTACATCTTAAGAACTTTTAGATTTTAATAAATTAATACCTTGCCACGTATACTGGAATAATCGACAGTCAGTGTTAATCCATGGTCCTTACCAGACACTTGTGCAATGCTTGGTGATACTGTTGCTGCTGCCATTGTTGACTTAACAGCAATTACTTATAGCAATTTTGTAAGTCTTTCGTGCTTCAATTATTTTATATGTGCACGTTAAATTTGTTATATTAAAGAACCTGTAATTATTGTGAAAACTTTCCAATACTTAAATCCAAATCGTTTTCTATAGAAAATGGGTAAGGGCACATGCATCACTGTAAAACAATGTAGGTATACAATGTTGAAGAATTTTTCATTGATACGATAAAGTTGCCAATATACTTGTCAATTTGGTATCAAGACAAAATATCTGTAAATAGAAAAATATTAATTTAGTATTTTTATTTAATAGATGTAACAATTAGGTGCTATTAAAACTTATGTCTCTGGCTAAAATGTAACAAATAAATACAGAATGACAGGCTATATTAACTCTAATATAATATCTCATAAAAATATTACATGACGATGCAATCCTATTACATTGTTTCTATATGTATGTAATAAAATATTTCTTTATCAACAGAACAATATACTATAAATAATCATGTGTTTGCTAAAGTATCTTTAAGAAAACTAATTGTTTTTTATATATCTCAACATTAAAATCCAATGAATTTTTTTTGCAAATCTAAACTTTCTCATGCAACAACCACTGTTTGTGAATCATATTCCCCAATGAGTGCACATTCATCAACCAGAAATGATCAATTAAATCTAGAATAAATTGAAATTATTTAATGTCAAGTGGTAAGTACATCTTCAAAAAAAACATCATGTATTCAAAGGTATTGTGCAAGTCATTTACATTCCTAAAGATGTCTAAAGATAAACATATTGTAGTTGTACCAGTGGATAGATGGCTATTTATGAAATACCAGAGAAATTAAAAATAAACAGCATGGTCCTTCAAAATAGTATAACAGCTGATACAAATTTAATGTAGGATACAAAATAAAGATCATATCTCACCCAAATGAATAAGAATTAATACAAGCTTCTATTGCAATTTTATTCACGACCAAAATTTGACTGTCACTTGAAACTAATGACAGAACGTACCTATCACGTACTTACTATGTAGACTATGCAGTGAAACTGTGTGAAACTCACTGTTCACGCAATTTCGTTTCGCGTGAATAAAGTCCGTAGTCTGTAATCACGGAGCCACGCTGCGCCACATTACAGCTTCTGTACCAATCACATATTCCATCTGTTTTATCTCATGTGCAAAAAATTCTTTCGTACATCACACGTAGCCACCAGAGACATCTCAAGAAAAGAAACCATCAACTCTCGAGAATCTGTTATTTATCGAAATAAAATCACAATAAAGTACTGATCAAATTATTTCCAACAAGTATCATTATTTTTGTCTCATCAAAAAACCAGTACCAATAAAAATTATCTTTTCCATTAAAAAAAACTACCATTATCATTGCCCATAATACAATTTACCATCCGAAGCCTCAATTTATAAACAGTATCATTTCACTTATAGTAAATTATACGATTAAGTTCTGAAACAATATCTTAACTTAAGACAGATCTTTCTCTCAAGTTTCGAAATCATCTTTAAATGGGTATAAGATTACTTTTTTAAAAATTTTGATTCGGTTATCCTTTGTTGGTATATATAAAAAAAAAACGTGCAGATCTCCAGGATGGGGAATCCATGTTGAGTAATGACGTCATGGTAGCAGTGTCTCAAGTTCTCAACTAACAGGCAACTGGTTTCCTCGAAGCAGACCCAGCCGAAGATATTTCAATGTGACTTCGGTCGGACAGCCAGTGTTGCGCGAACTGCGTTCCTTGTATTGTGGAGTGGCGCGTTTTCTGCTCTCGTCGCGGGTTGCCCTTTTACGGTGATCCAGCCAGCACTCGCGAAAACTTGCCCGCGTTCGCGCGCTGTAATGTTATAAACTGACTGCCTATCAACCAAATTGTAAAAGTAAGAGAAAACAATCGCATCCACAAATAATTCCATACCCGTGTATTCTCCAGCGGAGACGATTTTTTCTTGTGAACAACTGTGGCGGTGATCGAGTGCCGTAAATAGAGTGATGACGACATCGTCCACAGGGTGCCGCGGAGGCGCTGCAGAAGGGCTCTTTATTTCCACCATTTTCCTCTTGACCAAGAGTTTTATCCCTAAACCCTTTTACTTTTTCTCTTCAAAAAAATTGTTGTTTCTATTCCATAGTCTTTAGCTTTCTTGTTTCTCTTCTTCCTGCCCATATTTTTTCTGATATAATTTTTTTTTTGTATCTGGTAATCGGCATCCCTCTCGATGCGATTATTCTTTTTCGAATATAATGTTGATGGTATTCATATTTCTTTTTTTTTTCAACAGATATATTTGCTTTGCAAGCCGTAAATAATGCTGATGTATTTTTATTTGTTTTTTTCTTCCTTCATTCATGTAATGCACAACCGTAGCGTGGACTTTTATAGTATTAGAAATATGAAAGAGAATGAATGAAAGAGTGGGACAAGGCGTGGGAGAGCCGGTTTAGGCCGCGCCTAAATATCATTTTCTTATTTCTTTCTCATCTTTTAGCTTCTTATCGGGATTGACCCCCTATTTTTATATCAAGGGAAATCATCCTCGCGTTTCCGTTCTATTTTATGATATTTGTGGCATAGTCTAATCCGATCCTGATAATCTCCTTGAGAACGTACGACGTCTATTTTTTCATGTTGATGAACAATCTACAACGTTACATCGTTTCCGTTGGAAAAATTCGATAGAGAATGCTTGAAATTTATTCTGTTATTACCATTAACATTTTTTTTTCACAAACAGTTTGGGTATTTTTGGATGAGCGAACTTTGAATTATCAGGTTATCTTATGCGATTATGTTAAAGTTTACGTTATAAGTTTGATGAAATCGTATATTTTCGAGAGTTACAAATGGATTAGCTTCTTTTTTTTATCTCTTACGAATCCAACATACGTGAAAGTTTACACAGCAAAGTTGCCAAGAAAATGTGACTCAGTGGATTAATAATAGAGTTCTGCTTAAACACATTATGACCAATCACTGGTGTAAACGGTGTAAACTTACAATACTGACTATACAATATAAATTGCAAAATTGGTCCATTATTTTTCACATTGATTATTTATAATGCATAATTTCACAATCATTTATGGAATGGAATTGATAAGAGTTTATATTACTGCCTGCTAATTTTCACTGATGACATTAGTCACATCATTGTAAGGAATAGCAAAAAATATTGCCAATGAATTTCCTTGCCATATGAATCAGCTGATTTTATTGAGGAAACCATAAATGGAGTCTCGACCATGAGATACTCTTAAGGAAATTCTAAGAAAAAAATAGACATTCTTATCCTGCACCTTATCATTTTCTTGGTAATATTTATTTTGGACTGCAGCTGGAAGATAGCGGATAATAAAAAAGCAGTATAGAAATTGAAGAAATATTTATATACTGTATATAGAATGAAGTAATATATGAAATTAACTGTGGTGATCATTACATTAATTAATATCTTGTACAAACATTAATTAGTATTCATGCACAATATCAACATGCTCCAAAATCTTTATAAAAGTTACCAACTCAATAGTGCTTGCGAAACTAAAATTAATATTCTATTGCAGGGATGTTTGGCAGCTTAGGATGGGTCGTGATGCTTCTGTCGGCGACATTTATGGTCACCGTCAATTCAAGTCAGCCATCATCCGAGAGACTCACAGGAATGAATCCCTGCATTAGTAAACAGACTTGCCATGAATGCATACAGACACCACACTGTGCCTGGTGTGCAGCTCCTGTAAGTGCGAATTCATTGAGATCAACATATGTATATAGTCACTGTAAACCTTTCACTAATTTCCTACAAGGAAATTCTAAATTACAATCATATGCATAGCTTTACATGAATGATATCTAAAAACACTATGTGTTCATATCCTGCCGGCCTTATTACACGGAAGACATTACGTCATCGATTAGCTCATATCTATTTTTAAAAAATGCTGAAAAGTGCATAGTCTTAATTCGCCGAATTTTTTCTGACAAACAATCCATTCAAATTATGATCAACAGTAGCTTATAATGTTTGTGAATTTTTTAATAATTATTTTTCTACTATAGCATACAAAAAAGTGTAACATATACAGTCGAATACTTTTATAGTCCTGAAGCTTTTACATCAATATATCTGGACGATGTGATACGTTCTATATTTAGAACTGCTTCTATTCACGTATCAAATTATCCTACTTCTGACAGATAATCGATACACTTTGGCCTAGTTTATTTGTTCTCTGATTGACAAAAGGACTAAGATTAATCCTCAGAAAGCCTCTTTATATCAAACATTTCTCCCCATGAATGACCAAGTCACGCGATTGTAATTCATCTACATGATTACAGAATTTCAAGGAAAATCGTTGTTTCCTGCCAAATGTAAATACAAGGATATATGCATTATGTCCTGAAGAGTACAACTGGAATCCAGACAATTTCTTCAGCGTGAAAAGAAATAGCGAATTAACGAAAGGGGGTTATATTGCTGGTGGAGGTTCTAGTGGTGGATACGAAAGTTCCGAATATGGAGAATATTCAAATTCCTCGAGGTCTACCTATTCTGGAACCCACAGTTCTTCGAGTAGTGGTACTGCTGGAGCAAGGCGACAGCCAGCTGTACAAATCTCGCCACAGGAAGTGACTCTCAAGCTTAGAATTAGTGAGTATTCATATAACTTTTATAAAAAAATATATTGAAATTGCATCAGACAGATGTAGTGGTATGTTTATACATAATTAATTTTAATTCGTCCATAGGCTATTTAGTATTTTTACATTAACGTCTCCTAGTTAAAATTGCTGTGCATAATTTTTAGATACACGTTACAACGATCATAGCTCAGGTATCTCAGTGTAAGCAGAACCATGACTAACTTAGTGTTGAGTCATCTTTTACTCATTACCAGATCGAATCACTGGCATTTTCAAATGTTCATTATTAATTAAAAGTTATTACGTCGTTAAACTGATACCGTATAGATTTATTTATGCGAAACAATATTTATTTGCTTAGACGAGGCTCATAGAATATCTTTCAAATATTTGTTGGCCGAAGATTATCCAGTAGATCTTTATTACCTTATGGATCTTAGTAAGTCTATGGAAGACGACAAGACAAAACTGTCCGACCTGGCGGAATTACTTGTGGAGAGTATGAGCAAAATTACAAGTAACTTTAGTCTTGGTTTTGGAAGTTTCGTCGACAAGGTTGTCATGCCGTATGTCAGCACTGTGCCTAAGGCGTAAGTATAATATAAATTAAATGACAAAATCTGCATAATAGATCATTACAGAACTCTTTTTCTTTCAAACCAATACTCCATAATAATAAAATTAATTAAATCACTTTTAGGCTCCTCGAACCATGTCCAAATTGTACAGCTCCCTACGGCTACAAACATGTAATGGATCTGTCAACGAACACCAGTCAATTTGCAGTGAGTGTATTATAACACATAAATACAGTATTATAATGTAGATTTCGATCATTCAATTTGTTACAAAAAAATAATTCATCCCTTTCAGGACCTTGTCCGGAACGCTTCTGTTTCCGGAAACCTGGATGCACCAGAAGGTGGATTCGATGCAATTATGCAGGCAATAGTTTGCCTCAATCAAATTGGCTGGCGACATAAAACTCGTAGGCTTCTTGTATTTTCTACGAATGCCGGCTTCCATTATGCTGGAGACGGAAAGCTTGGTGGAATCGTTAAGCCTAACGATGGTTCCTGCCATCTTGATAATAACGGTTTTTATACGCATTCGTCAAAGCAGGACTATCCCAGTATCTCACAGATAAATCGCATAGTACGTATACGCGTATCCTTCATTTACTCATTTATTCACTGACGAATCACTTATTAAGAAAACGTGATTACAGGCCAATGACAATAAGATTAATATTATCTGGGCAGTAACCGAAGAACAGATTAGTATTTACAAACGTCTCACGGAACACGTGCAGGGTTCCTATGCTGGAAAATTATCAAACGATTCCAGCAACATCGTTGACCTAATCAGAGAACAATACAATGCTATTTCAACCTCTCTGCAAATGCAGCATACCGCCAGCAGTGCGATTAAAATCCGTTACTTCTCAAGTTGCCTCGATCCTAGTGACACGCTCGTTGAGACTTCGAAATGTGACGGACTGAAAGTCGGTAGCAAGATCACATTCATTGCTGAGATCGAAGTAAATGCGTGTCCTGCTAATAGATCAGAATGGAAGCAGCGATTCAACATTTCTCCGGTAAGTCTTTGAGGAAAATGCATCCTACAAAATACATGTGTTCATTGATATCATTTAATATGTACTTCAAGTCTGTTTTTTTTTAAATTCCATTGAACTGTATTATTTCTGCATTCCTTAAGAGAGCCACAGTAAATTTAAGTATTTCACAAAATTTGTTTATGCTTGATATCAAAATAGTTATTGGTCTTTTTGTAAATAATACCTTCTCATAGTAAATAAAAAGAAGTGTACCTCAGAACTGCAACGTTATCATGAAGTAAATCAATTAGGTGGGCGTGAATGAGGCGTTGACGGTGAACCTCGAGATGCTATGCGATTGCGAATGCGAACACAAAGGTCACCCCCTGTACGAAGAAAATTCATCAAATTGTAGTGGCACGGGTACCCTGAAATGTGGGGTGTGCGAGTGTAACGACAATTTCTTCGGTAAGAATTGCGAGTGCAATATTCAGGAGTATATGAATTCCGGCAGCGACAAGTACATAAATTTCTGTCGACCTGATAATACAACCGTTGTTGACTGTTCTGGACGTGGTGTTTGCACTTGCGGTACATGCGACTGCAATAAACGCGATAATCCTGATGAGGTAATTTATTAATAGAATAATAAGATAAGTACCACTTTCATTTATCACCGGCATCGTATAATTTTTTTTAAATTACTTACAGGTAATAGAGGGAACGTACTGCGAGTGCGATAACTTTAACTGCGCCCACGAAGATAATATCCTCTGCTCTGGTCATGGAAAATGTGTATGTGGCCAGTGCGTTTGCGATAGTGAATGGACGGGTTCATCATGTAACTGTCCTTCGTCTGAAAGCACTTGTATTGCACCAGGTACCACAAATGGAGTTCTTTGCTCTGGGCATGTAAGTCTATTGAATAGTAGATACACTAGGTTGTTTCTCAAATGCGTGCAAGAGGTCTGTACAATATGTTAAGCAATTTCTATATCGTTTCAGGGTGACTGCATATGTGGTGAGTGTGTCTGCTATGAAGAGGGTGACAAACGTTACTCAGGAACGCACTGTGAGAGGCCTCCAAGGCAGGACATTAGTTGCGAGGAACTTAACAGTTGCGTACAGTGTCAAGTGTACAGAATCGGAAACTACAGCGATACCAAAGAGTGCGATAGTCATTGCAAGAAATATACTCTGAAGATTGTTAAGACCAATGATGTTAATGAGACCATTGATACTAACGAGACCATCAACGAACAGCTTTGCATTTTCTATGACGAGGATGACTGCAAATATAGTTATGTTTTCTATCCCAATGGAACGAATGAATTGATAGTGCGAGCGCGAGAAGAACCGGAGTGTCCGATTCAAATTTATTTGCTTGGAATTGTCCTGGGTGTTATTGGCGCCATTGTGCTTATCGGTTTGGCCTTACTTCTATTGTGGAAGCTACTTACGACTATTCATGACCGTAGGGAATTTGCCAGGTTCGAGAAGGAAAGAATGATGGCTAAGTGGGATACGGTAATTAGATTGTTAATCTTTTAGCCTGTCTTGTTACTAGCTTTTATTACTTTTCTTCTCCTTTATTGCAGGGTGAAAATCCAATCTACAAGCAAGCTACATCAACATTCAAGAATCCGACTTATGCCGGTAAATAAAAGTCGGCGAAGGATCTTCCAACTAGTGTGAAGAAAGACGAACTCCTTCGACCTGAAGGAATGATGGTGTGTCATAAAATTTTGTATTTTTCGAGGACGAACGAAAATGGTCGAACAGACCATTTTTAACGAACGATTAACCATGTCTCGTTAATAGCGATTAACCGATTAATATGATTCTGTTAAGCGTTAGACTACGTAATACTGCCATAATATACTTAGGCCGTTTAACGCGGATTCTCGTAAAGGTGGAACAAAATTCAAAAGGATCTGAATCCGTCGGGAAAGTCAAGGGAGGAAAAAGTGCCTTTTCGAATTTCTTAAAAAAAAAAGAAGAACAGATCTTTATCGACTCTCTAGGAGTTAACCACGTTTTTTAATTGATTATATATACATTATATCTATAGCTATATATATATATATATTTCTTCCTCCTTTTCTAGCTCTTTGCTGATGTGTGCCGGGATATATTTATTAACGAAATACTATATTTTCCTTTACCTTGTGTCTCTCTTTATCTAATCGTTATTTTATTTTCACTAATTCCTGGATTACCGTCAAGAGAAGCACCGTGCAAACTCAAAAAACTACGCGAACCTCACTTGTCGGACTATCCAGTGCGTGTACGAATTCGATTTTATTTCGTAAAACGATCTTTTATTTTTGTCTGTGAGTGCGTGCGAGCGTAAGTGGGTTATTGATAAAAAAAGTATGTACTAACAGGACTGTAATTATGACTCAATGTAAAGAGAGGTTGTTTATTTATACGGGACATTACAATATTATACACCTCTTATGTCATACTTTACACTGTCCTTCTCTTAGACTATAGATTTAATGATAAATACCTATTACAATTTTTTTTGTTACTTAAGAAAAACAAGAAAATAGTAAATTTTTCAAAAATTTTCGATTGAAGTGGAGAGAGAAGATGTAGAAATGACGACGCCGAAGCATATTGTGCGTAGGTATTTACAAAAATGACTGTTTTATCTAATTCTCAAAATATTAATCACACAATTATCTGTGAGCTTCCATAGTCCTGTATACGTACTACGGCTAATGTTCAAATTTAAGAGAAAGAAAAACGTGAATTGCATTTCATGTTACAATGCCACATCGTTTTGTATAAACATCATTGTACATTTTGTATCAAGTTAAGTCGAACAATAAAAAACGCTTTTGTGCCGTTGCTAATGTTGAAGAATCTGTCGGTTATCATTCTAATTATACACATAGTTATATTACCACAATTCTATATTTGATATGTTTTTTCAATCAAATAATCATTTTAATCTATACAAATCTCAATTTCAAGACAATAAGTATAATTTTTGTTTTATTTTTATTAAGCTCTTTTTTTATTAAGTACTCACAAAGGTTGTTTCCTTGAAGTATAACAAAGATGGTATATATATACCAATTATGTACAAAACATATCAAGCATCGGTCATATTAGGATACAGAAGTGCTTATAAATATTTAATCAATTATATTATATCAAGGGATTGCTTCATACGGGGCTTGTGTTGTAATATCTGAATACTAAGCTCGTCTATATATTTATATTAAATATGCACGAGTACATATGAAGCAATTGATTCTGATTATATGACTGTCTTCTGGTTTTAATAACAATATGTAAAATGATATATTAATTAGTGTTTTAAATGAATTTTATTATACATGGCAGTGTTCTTTTGTGTAAGCACAGTTGATATTTGGGATTATTCTTCTATTTCTTTATCGCAGTGGGGTATGAACATCGACTATTACCTTATATTTAATGACGTAGTCAATTAATGTATCAAGTAGTGGCAGAGTACAATCGTTTAAAACAAAATCATATACAGTCTTATCGGTTAGCAACATGCATTTATGTATCAACGGTTTGGAAGCACTTGAAAAAAAAATAAATTATTTTTATGTCATTGGCTGTAGACAGTATGTATAATATTAGAGACTACAACAATATCTGACAGTATGATCAGTTATCCTTTCCATAGAACTCAGATTAAAGAATCATGTAAAAGCTTTCGGTACATTGATTCTAAATAATTAAAATAACAAATAGTTTTCACTATGTTCACTGCCTGCAGTGGCACTTTGATAAAGTCCTAAATGACAGTATTATTGTTAAAAAGTCAAATTAAAGTTATTCCGTTTATCTGCCAATTGTGCAATTTATTAAAAAAAAAAGAATAGCATTTAACGAATTTACTGGAAAGTCAATCTATAAATTGCTGTGTTTTTTTTAAAATTAGCTGTCCCATATTGCGAATAACAACGTAACGTGAATGCATAACGGTATAAAAAAGAAAAGAACCTGTAGCGATTATTGTTAAACAAGTTTTCACGGCTTGTGATATCAAATCTTTTTGGATTCTTTGAACAAAAGAGCAACTCCTTACCGAGCTAAAGAGAACCCACAATGTTACCTTAACTTCTCCTTAATCGATTAGAAGACTTTTACGAAAACTTTGAGCATTCGTATAAAGTACTCTAAGCTATATAAAATGTCCAATTGTTTAACAATGGTTATAGACCGCAATTACTTCTATTACAAGAATCCATTTTTTATCAATTATTATGAACATTCAATTAGATTATAGTTTGATACAATATAAACTCGTATACAAACTATAGTTTTATATATATATATATGTATACTATGTAATAATAGTCAATCATCCGTACTACAAGTTGGTTCACTTGAATTATTAGTGTTTCTATTTCGCAGTTTTGCTTTGCATCTTTCTGTGCTTTTTTTCTATGTGAGATAAAACAAATTACGTCTAATGAGAGTCATACAGTATCGTGATAAGCAATCAGGTAACAGATTATACTGTATACATATATTCAACATTGACGTAAGCAACCTTTGACTTTAATATAAATAAATTTTTTAGAATATTCGTAGGTTTTTATGTCAGATTATTAAATCTAGAAAGATATAGAAAATAAATTAAGTACTGTACGACTCTCATAATATCTTATTTGTTATATGAACACTTACGAAGAACTGACATCATTATTATCACAATTGGAACTTAACTAATTGTCAACTTATCTATTAGTAATCGCTGTAACAATAACTATCTTAGTTTCTAATGAACGAATATCACTCGTTATACGCTTCACGCAAGAATTACGTACTTTAATTATCCTTGACGTATCGCAATACCATTACTTATATATATTTAACGAAAGTTTGCATATTTCTTAGGTGAGCTTTAAATATCACTCACGCTGTCTTAAACTTAAAGTAATTGCCAACCTGTCGGTTTGTTAGACTTGTAGTAGTAAGGATATAAAAATGGAAAAAAAAGAAACAAAAATGATGGTTCAAATACAAGAGAATACTTTGCGAGTGAAATTTAAAAAAATGTACGTATAATTATAGACTATTAATAAATATCGATTGTCATTCTCTCTCTGGTTATTGTAAACAAAGGAAATAAGAATTTTCTGTCAGGCAGGTGGCAATATTTGAAAATCCAGAAACCCGGAGAAGCAAATTCTATCTAGTTTTGATTCAGGTCTAGGTAATGCAACAAGATGAACCCTCTAGAACATCCTGTATAAACGTTACTGATCCTTAACGTAGTAAAATCGTGCAGAGGACTATCATGTTAAAGATTAGTGAACCACAGAGCAATGCCGGAAGCCAAGTGGGTGTTGCTAAGACCGTTTGCCCAGTTTGCGTAGTAATTTCCTGGGTGCTTCTCGTTTTTACAGTGGGAACATCCGAAAAGCCTGTATCTGAAAGTGCTTTGTGAGGCTGAAAGGAATTAAAAAAGGGATTTCATATTGATATCTTAAAAAATAATTATCATGTTATAAGATATTTATTATCGTCTTACTTTAAATGTTCGGGGAAATAGTGGCCGTGGACTTTCAGGCCTGACGAAGGAAGAGAAATTTCCTTTATTTGATTTTGCATGGTGGCAGCATTGAGTAGTATCAGACAATACTGAACAACGGTCAAAGTCATTGTACAGCGAAGGCTCCTGAGAAAGTGCAAGATTTGAGCCAGCTGAACCAAAGCCAGAACTTCGACTGGAAGACCGAGAAAGGGCAGGCTCGTCCATTCCAGCTTGCCAATATCCTCCGGCGACCCAAGACTTTAGTTTTGGAGGACTAAGAATAGGGCGACGGGACTTTGTAAATAAATCAGAGCTCTTTGTACCATAAACACGTGTCTCGAACATCTTTGCCTTTTTAAATGATTTCTTTGTTGGAGTTGCACTTAAAGAAAGTGAACTTAAGGTACTGAGACTCTCATCGAAACCATTTTTTTGCACTTCCGTATTACTGTAAAACGAGAAGCCAGCTTGCTTGTGAAAAGTCCTGTAACAAATTGGTATCATTGTTATTTAGGTATATGATAACTGCTTTTTAAAAGAATTCAAACTTACATTGGACTTTGGAAAACTTGTGTGGCACGTATTGGCACAGGTGCTTCTACAGAGGCCGGAGTCATTAAAAGATTTGTTATGTTTACTGGAGAATTAGGTGTCGTCTTTACATGAGTTACTTCTTTTTCAGATTCTGGTGTGGTTGGAGTTATGTTGGCTCTGGGTATTGGCGACAAGGTTCCAGAATTTCTTTTTGATGGTGATTCCAATTTCTTGAACGACATCACTCCCCTCGAACTCAATGTATACGATTTTGTTCTTATATTAGCAAAACCAATAGCGGTAGCCAACATCAGAATCTAAGTTGGATTTATTTTTTGTTATAGTAGATAACAAAGATATTCATCAAGGACAATGGAACGATTTTTAAGACAATTAAATATATTCACTTACTGCATGGTATTGTGTGATATGTTCCAAATGAAAGTAGTCCGTGTTGAAATCAGATTTTAATAATTTTAAATCTTTGAATGGTGTTAAGATTCCTATGCAAATCCATAAAAATGTAAGGAACATATCAGATGTCCTGCGATTAGCAGGGCTTGTGATACAAGCTCCAAGCTGAATTAATAATCCAGTGCAAGGTATTGGCCAAGAACCCATGTAGTAAATGGTTGATGATGAAAGAATTGTAGAAATAAGTCGAAATATTTTTTCGTATTTAGATCCATTCTGAAAAAAGAACATATCACTAAATACCATAATCTTATAGTTCATTTGGAAAAGGCTTAAGTTAATCATTTAACCGGGAATTACGTTTCCCAGATGTTCAGCTATCTGCAGCCTCTAATCATTCTGCACATTAAGGATATACGTGGCCTACTGACTTTTGGTCTAAAAATTGTTTGCCCCGAGACAATCTGGGTTCAAGTAAACAATGATTAAATACCAGGTTAAGTGTTTAATAGCATCAATCAGTACTTACATTAACAATAGCTTGTACAGGTTTCTGCTTAAAGAACATCATTTTGTACCGTGTAAGCCATGATGATTGCTTACATAGTACATCATGTACAACTTCACTGCATTTTGAACACAATGTATATTTTTCTTCTAGTTGTTGACGGTATTGTTGCAACTCCCAATCATAGTTCCAGAAATTCTTTGGCTCAAATCTAGAGAGTTCACGAATTTTTAACTCTTCATTAACATTGCATTGCGTACATAAACCATTATGAAAAATTGAAGATTTGGTTTTAATAGGTTTGGCATAGAATTTCATAGAATTATTCTGTACTAATTTGTATTGAGCCGGAATGCTGTAATTGTAGCTTCCATCCTGAAAATTCAAATATGTCAATAATGTTTATAGATTTAAAAAAATGGTTATATTAAATTGCATTACTTTATATAATCATCTCTAAGTAATAACTCCATCCAAAAAATCCGGTAAAATATTTTTTAAATCCGTCATGCTATCTCTAAGCTGTGTAAAAGTTAGATACACATGATTGATGCTATAGATAATCACCTTATATCTTAATTATCAACATTACCTTACTAAATCCATTATACTGTTTACAAGAAGGACAGAGCCACCAATCAAGCTCTTGTCGCCAGATTTTAGTATTTTTATTACAAAACCAGCAATTAACAGTGACTGGCCATCTGATTCTAGAATGAAAATGATAGAAAGTAAAGGTGGAATAGAGTAACTTTCACTGTCTAAAAACTTACTTCAGTCTATGAAAAATCGTCAGACTGCAGACAAAAATGAGCAGCAACGTTATGATTATAGAGGTGAAATTGAAAAGTAGATCCTTTTCAATTTCCATGGTTCATTCTATTTCCAAACAAATCCTATGACTCCCGCCAAAGGAGTCCTTTGACCTTAACCTGAAATACGGTGATTCTGAAGCAGCACTGTTTATTTAAAAATAATGAATGTTAAGCTTATCACAAAAAATGTTAGTCATCACTCCGCATTATTAACTATTAAATTTTCGATGTATCTTTTTATGTTTTCACTTGCTAAATACAAAATTCACTAATCCCGGCACCCATGAAATTCACCCTCACGTGCCGACACCTAGGAGATTACTCGGGCATCTGTGCTGCACTCTGTTGAGTAATTTATTGCGGATGTCATGATTAATATTTGCATACGAATCCACACTTCCGTTATAACGTTATTCCATGTTTCAGAAAATGAAAAAGAAACTTTCATAGTAATTCATGATTAAGTACTGCTTTTAGAAATCTCAACAAATCCGATAATTGAAATTTGTAGATAAGTAAGATTGAAAGAATTACATTCAGCTGGTAAAACCGTCTTGTGAAACAACTTATTACCATACCAGCTTACACCATTATACCCATATAAAAGTTAAAAATGGTGTACACCAGTGTATACAATATAAATCATTGATACTAACAAATTAAAAACATCTTATTACTTACGCATTGTTTTCATAGTTAATTAAATTATATAAGAATGAAAGAAATTATAAAAATCATAAAGGTGTAAGGACACAATGCATGCTGTTCATCTGTTAGCAAATATTCTCATAATGATTTAATATACCGATTAGGATGATTCTTGCACAAAATCATTGTCTGTTATTGAATTACTCGAAAAACAATTGTGCTCAAAGATATAACAGTGGAAAATGGCGCGGCGACGAAATACCGTGCAATCAAGAGAACCGAGCCGGCGCGTCGAATAGCAAAGTTTCGCAGGTATCGAAATATCGACAGACTAGCGGCGCCCGCTAGCGAGGAAACTCTAGCGCGGGGCCATAAGTAGAATCGAAAAGAAACGAAATCCAACGCAACGCAACGCAAGTCGTGCTATTTTCCATCAGCAGTTTTAATCGGCACGACGACAATTGGCATACAAGTTTACGCTACTCCGTATGACGATTCTTTTTGTCAGCTCTCACTGTAACCGCAACATTCGATCGCGAAAATGGCGATGGGCAAAGGTTTTCGCGTTTATGAGAAATTAAAGCCTCCTAGTCCACACTCTCTCATTTTGGAGCAACGAAATCGTAAAGATACCGTCCTCTTTGAATCACAGGCAGTGGCTGTTCTCTGTGAGTACTTCTCCATATTTATTCCGTACTTCTTTCCATATCCTCTCATTGATTCTTGTCAGAATTCACTAGGGACTTTGCCTATTGAAAGACGTTTACTTTTTTGACAGTTACTATGAATTGCTTTTAATGAAATAGAATGTTTATAGAATATCTTACTCCAATATCTTAATTATTTCAGAGTTATCGTTAGAGCTTTTCGATGTACGTCTACTGTGACCTTTAGGAAAAGTAATTCGATTATTTCACTAATTTGATGTATTATCACATAGAAATTTTCTCTATTGTTGTATTAGATAACTATTTGTTAATATATTTAAAGCAAAATATAATGGCTTTGCTGTTAGCTAGTTTCAAGGTATTGTCGAAAATGTGACTGATTTGTCAAGATTTATAACAGTGAAGTTATGTTTTTTGTAAATTATTACTAATGTATTTTCTACTTTTACATGATATTAATGAAAGACTTTTTAATATAGCTGCACAAGAAACAGAATCCCTAAAGGCACAATATACAAAATTATTGGATGCTTATGGCTGTCTAGGAGTACTTCAGCTGAATGCTGGGGAGAATACTCTTCTATATCTTGTCCTCGTCACTGGTTGTTTCTCTGTTGGAAAAATTGGAGAATCTGAAATCTTCCGAATAACCCAGACACACTTTGTTCCATTGCATTATACACAGAGTAACGAAGATAGAGTGTCTGAGGTCAGAAAAGTCCTCAATTCTGGCACTTTTTATTTTGTATGGTCTGCTGGTCAGCAGGAAGCTCTTGATATTACTCTAAGTGCTCAAAGACAATGTAAATCTAACACAACGGATAATAGATTTTTTTGGTTAGTATAGTCATGATTCTAGATATATATTTCCAGCTTATAATTCAGTGTAAAATACATTGATTAAAAAAGATTTTTATCAAACTGTTGATAGCATAGAATTCTTAAGACTTTAAAATTACATTTAATCAGTATGTGCAATCAAGAGTTCTTCGTTCTGTTTATCAGGAATCGAATGCTACACATTCACTTACTAAGATATGGTGTCAATACAAGTCACTGGCTACTGAAAGCAATGTGTGGTAGCATAGAAATCCGTACTGTCTATGTTGGACACAGACAAGCTCGTGCAGTAGTTGTCTCCAGGTTGAGTTGTGAAAGGGCAGGCACCAGGTATGCTATTTATACCCATTTGTATCTCCAAATCATATATACTCAATTGGAGCATTATACGTAGATAATGAGCCACAATTGTATTCATAAATCACTAGTTATAAATAATATTTTCCTCTTCGAAGCAGTAAAGATAACAGCGATAGCATCTGTTTTATGTATTTTTATCAATACGCAATCAACTTCAGGTCTTCCCTTAATCTCCCTAGGTTCAATGTAAGAGGCAGCAATGATGATGGTCATGTAGCCAATTTTGTAGAGACCGAACAAGTAATCTACCTAGACAATGAAGTAACATCCTATGTACAGACAAGGGGGTCGGTGCCTTTGTTTTGGGAACAACCAGGAGTTCAAGTTGGCTCTCACAAGGTCAAGATATCCCGGGGCTTTGAAACATCGGCACCGGCTTTCGATCGTCATCTTACAATGATCAAAAAGAGATACGGTCAGCAAGTGATCGTCAATCTACTTGGCTCGAGTCTCATTGGAAACAAAGAAGGCGAAGCGATGCTTAGTCAATTATTTCAAACTCATCACAATCTGTCTCAACATAAGGACGTTCCCCATATATTATTTGACTATCACCAGGAATGTCGTGGAGGCAACACAAAGAATCTCTCCAAATTGAAAGCTAAGGTGGAAAAGTATCTGGAATCATTTTCCTTGTTCTACGCAATTGGTAATAACGTGATTCATGAGCAAAAGGGTACATTAAGAACAAATTGTCTAGATTGCTTAGACAGAACGAATTGCGTGCAAACATTTTTCGCCCTGGAAATTCTTGGTAAACAATTAGCACTATTAAAGCTTTTAGAAAAGCAACAAATGGTATCCAGATTCGAAGAAGTCTTTCGTCAAATGTGGATAAACAATGGCAACGAAGTTAGCAAAATTTATGCTGGCACTGGTGCTATACAAGGCAGTTCGAAACTTATGGATGGAGCCAGATCTGCTGCTAGAACAATACAAAATAATCTTCTTGATTCAAGTAAACAAGAAGCTATTGATATATTATTGTTGGGTTCAACTTTAAATACGGAATTGGCTGACAGAGCACGATTACTTCTACCATCCAATATGTTACACGCTCCACCCAGTGTTTTAAGGGAAATGTGTAAAAGATATAATGAATACGTAATGACTATGAATCTCAGAGTCAGCGTTGGCACATATAATGTTAATGGCGGAAAACATTTTAGGAGTGTTGTGTATAAAGAAGTATCTCTCACCGATTGGTTACTTGATGCTCCACGCAAATTCTCATGTGGGTATTTTACATTTAACACAATTTCTATTTCTATCTGTAAGAACATAAATCCTTGATGCCTTCTGCTTCCATTATTATTCTCCTATCAAGAAGAAGATAAAGCATGAAATCAAATACCAACGTGTTAATCTCTTCTAGTTAAAACCAGTCGTATGATATATTTGGAAAAGTATACTAGTTTCCACTCACTCAGCAACAACCATATCTCTATCTGTCTTTATTGTTTGATTGAAATTCATTAAATAATTATTACTCGTTTCAGCATTAGTCACTGTGGAACACGATAATGTTCCTGTGGATATATTTGCTATTGGCTTTGAGGAAATCGTTGATCTGAATGCCAGCAATATTATGGCAGCCAGTTCGGATAATGCAAAGGCTTGGGCTGAAGAGTTACAAAAAGTATTATCGAGAGACCACGAATACGTTCTGGTCAACTATCAGCAGCTAGTCGGTGTATGTCTTTACCTTTTTATACGACCGAAGCACGCACCGTACTTAAGGGATGTCGCGGTAGATTGCGTAAAGACAGGATTGGGTGGTGCGACTGGTAATAAAGGCGCAGCTGCAATCAGATGCGTCTTATACTCAACGTCTTTCTGCTTCGTTTGCGCTCATTTTGCTGCCGGGCAATCGCAGGTCAGCGAGCGGAACGCTGATTACGCGGAAATCACAAGAAAAGTAACCTTCCCCATGGGAAGAACCTTGAATACTCACGATTATGTCTTCTGGTGCGGAGACTTTAACTACAGGGTTGACATGGATAAGGACGACATGAAAGAAATGATTAGACGCAATGAATTTGATCAGATTTTACATTATGATCAGTTACGGGTAAGCATCTAGTATGAAAATAAAAGTTGAATACACTGTTAACTGTTGGAAGTTTTCTTCATAGGGTAATGATGGTATCAATTTTTATTAGATATTTTTTTTCTAGACGCAGCAGGAGCAAGGCAACGTCTTCAAGAACTTCCTAGAAGGCCCTATTAATTTCCCACCTACATATAAGTATGATCTCTTCTCGGATGATTATGATACTAGCGAGAAATGCCGTCAGCCAGCTTGGACTGATAGAGTACTGTGGAAGAGGCGAAAGCAGATACCGGATATAGGTATATTTTTAGGAATACTGTTATCTATCGTTTATGTTGTTATTATATGACGGGGTATTGCATTCTCGTGCAGATTCTCCAACTGATTGGAATCCCGGTCGTCTGGTGTATTACGGTAGAGCTGAATTAAAGCAGAGCGATCACAGACCAGTAATCGCCCTAATTGACATAGATGTTTATCGCGTGGATCCTGAGAAGCGGGAACACGTCTTCCGGGAAGTTATTCAAGATCTAGGACCTCCGGATGGTACCATAATAGTCAGAGCCGTAGAAGAGAATGACGATATTGACAGCGTTTTCGACGACAGCTTCATGATGGCTCTCCTCCAGGACTTGTCTCACATTGGCGAAGTGATTCTCGTGAGATTCGTAGGGGAAACTATCTGGGTAACCTTCCGGGATGGTCAGAGCGCCCTTGCCGCAGTACGCAAAGGGATGACCCAGGTCTGCGGTCAGACCCTAAAGTTGAGTTTGAAGTCGCCAAACTGGGTACAACTTATTGAGAAAGAGATAGAGATTTGTAGCAATACAACAGTTCCTCAGTGTGACGATAGTCCATCATCTAGTCCAGTTCAAGGATTTGATCAACTGGGAATATCAGAAAGACCACCTACAGGAAGATCTAGTCCAAATGGCAGTATCCCACCACCGAGACCAGCACCACCAAGTCGACCTGCGCAACCTTCTAGAAGTCCGGGACAGGAAAGACGTCATGTAACTCGTGCGGGAGTCTTTAGTGTCGTGCCAAGTCAGTTCCCAATACCCACACCCAGGTCGAATTCCGAAGACGAACAACCTGAGAGAGCTTCACCAGATTCTGCAATCTACGAGGAAATACAAGATAACTCTCCTAATTATCCTGTGCCAAATAGACCACCTCCTCCATTACCCAGGATGGATAGTCCATCAGAATCATCCAATAGACCACCACCAAGTTCTGTACCACCTCCATTGCCACAGAGACAAGTTCCTCTACCTCCTCCGCAACATCCTCCACCAAGTTTACCACCTCAGAATGCTCCACCTCCGGTACCAGCTAGAACCACAGGTGGTCCTCCTATACCAGCTAGAAATCCTCATTAAAATTAATCATAGTATTCTCTCTAGCCATTCTTAGCCAGTTATTATTTACCGTTGAACAAATTGCAATCGTGACACAGATTGTAGGCTGCTTCCAAATTTAATTTTACATATAATTTGTGAAAGAATAGTACCGAAAAATTTGTTTTGCGAACAGTCATGTCATATTACCACTCTCGGAATACGATAGAATATACACAACAAAAGTGATGTAATCGCAATAGAATTTTTGTCGGGCCAGATGACAATACTGTGTTCTATTCAATACCGAACAATTGTATGAAACGAGCTATTGGTGTGTTTCGATAACGGACGATACTCGTTCGCAACAACACACGTAATGGCCAATTAGGTGCAGCTTCTTTTGAGCTCAAGAATTAAGTTTCTTTATTATATAATAGTTTCTCCCAAATGCACTTAATACTGATTTAGGTATAACATTTAGCCACTGTTCTCAATGCGTCGAGCGTATGTAATTAATTAGAATAATCAGCAAGAGTAGATCGTGTCGAAATTCATATAGGAATTTCAATAAAATAAAATCGCTTTGCCTTGGCGCCGATTGATATTTGTTAGAATAGAGATCATTAGACACGTAGGCAATGATGCCCATCAGTATTCTTACGATCTATACACTTAATATTGCATGTATACAATTGTTGACCAATCGTTGTACTTTTGTGTTTGTAGTCTGTATCGGTTGTTGTACATGATGATGACGACGACTATAAGGTACTATGAGAAATTTATTAATGTTACTCGTTAAAACTTATAGCCGTAGAAGGGCGAGTGATTCGTACTGAAAATATTATTGTATTTATTTTCTAGTTTAGTGCGCTAAATCAGTGTATATACCGTTTGTCGTAGACGTAACTGTATGTACAACGAAGAAATGTATTCGATCGATTCCCGAAAAACCCCAGAGATATCACCTATTCAATTAGATAGATGAATTATATCTGAAACGTGCAAGCGACGTGAGATCTTTTTAAAATAGCGCGGGCTGATGTGATACGTATCATAAAACTGATAAGACGTTGTTAGTTTGGACGTAAAGTATTAACGTTCGTCGAAATCATTGCTCTTATTTTTCATTAACATTCCGTTAATCTACAAATTATTGCGAATTGGTGACGTGCCCGAGCTCCTTCGTAGCTAAAATTTAAAAAAACTTGGCAGCTCCTGTACTCTTCTGTAACTGTCTGTATCCTCGAAATATACATTATATTCTATATTGATAATTGTACTTACTACCCTTACAATTATTTAATTTCACTTTTTAATCCAATAAACAAGACTAAGAGTTCTTAGAAAAATGCTTTTTTTATTCAAAATACGCTGTATATAAAGACAATATTTTTCTTCGCTTCTTCGACATTTTTGCAGAGCAAATGTCAACGAGCCTACCATTTAAATAACGTGTTCAAGTGCTTATAAAAAATACGATTGTAAAAGTCTTGTATAAAAGGTCTTGGGCAAATTCATTTATGTACGTATAAAAACGAAAATATATTTCACGATAAACGTACGTCGATGTTAATTATGAGTGATAACTTATATGTGTGTAACGGGGGGCGGAATGTGTCGAGTGATTTCTCTTGTTCAAGTTTTTGAAGATTTTCGGAAACAGAAAGAATAAAAGGAAAACAAAGTAACAAAGGTGTGCAAGCACTTAGTACGATAAATCGCATGGGATTCTTAACAAATTATATACAGAGACGCACCACTAAATTAGGGGCTAACTAGTTACTAATTAGTACACTAGATACAAAAGTTGGGAGTTAATTAAAGAAAAAAAAAAAATAATGTTATTCTCTTACTTAGAGAGCTCATTGTCATAAGAGATTCGACGATTATCCAAAATAATTCTTTGATTACGACGCGTTTACTCGTTTTAACAATGTTCCTTTCTTTTTTGATTAAGTATCGGTAGTGGAAAGGACTTGCCTACAATACATAACAAATTTTCGGCAATACTGCTCAAACGCAAATGTATCTTAGAAAAGAAAAAGGAAGTAGGTACATCTCTTATTATGCATATATCTATCGCTAATTAATACGCCGTTACAGAAATCGCCAATCAAAATTGGGCAATGTTTCTTTTCTTCTTTTTCGTTTTTATTGGCTTATCATTAAATTCAGACTAATCGGCTGTTTTTTAAATCGAGGTCGGGAGCAGGGTTATCGCGATTGGAAGAATTCATAACTACCACTGCAACTACAATTGCTTTGAAACGTTTGCCATCTTGGCCAACACATTAACATGCAGCATATAAATTATTGAGATGCATATACTCTAAGTTTTTAACATCTTCTATGTGAGAAAAACTTTAAAGTCAATGGTTCACTCTCACAGTCTCTTAACCCTTCTTATTGATGCACACAATTTCAGTCTCATGAGATATGCGTTACGTTAAAGTCAGGATCATAAAAACAACCCACGACATATTATTCAGATAAAAGATACATACTTTTTTAAATAGTTAAATGTAGTGCAAAGGATAAAATTGATTGAGAGACCATTATTAAACTTCAACTTCAAAGTTTCTACGTAGGAAGAGTCGTTGTTCTCTGATGACGATCGTTAAAACTAATAATTCACAGAATTTTGTATTTTTTTGTTGTCTGTTTTGATATTTGTGAAATTGAATGGAAAGTACCGTTTAGCATCGTGAGAATTAGCTCAGCAAACCGCAATTGCTTAAGTTGTTCTTAATTATAACGTCAGTCACAGCGTCGAACACAAACTGTATATTGGACGTGTCGGTGGCACACGTGAAATGTGTGTAGATTTGTTTTTGATCTTTCCTCTTGTTTAGATTCTCAAATTTCATTTGAATATACGAAGCACACTCCTCATAAATATTAGCACCCTTATACTCGGGAAAGCAGATAGTCAAAGGACTCCTGGATATCTTCTCTTCGAAGAGGTCTTTTTTGTTTAGAAATAATATAATGGATGTCTCGACAAACCATTTACTGTTGCATATCGAGTCAAATAATTTTGTAGACTCTATCATTCTGTTCATTTCCTCGTCCTCAGCGAGAACAAGATCATAGCCACTGAGTGCTACGCAGAAGATGATTGCTGTCACTCCTTCGAAGCAGTGAATCCATTTTTTACGTTCAGAACGTTGACCCCCAACATCGAACATTCTGTAAGTGGAATATAAGAGTAAGTACAGAAAATAAAACTAACAAAATCAGAGTAAAAAACAGCTTAACACGTACTTGAAGTGTAAACCCTTGAAAGAAAAATGTGTTTCCACTATTCCTGTAGTTTTTACGCGTGTCCTCAGGACATCCTGCTGTGTTGGAATGTAATTGGGCTGTGCTATGCGGTCCAGAGCATTAAGATAATATGCTGCCGAATCATTCAGTTGATATTCCCTGCTACGTGTGAAACAGAGCTGCACTCCCGCGTCCTGCCATAATCTCTTCATTAATAGTACCAGTTCTCCTGTTAGCTCTCCCTCTTCTGCTGCCGAAGCTAGGGTGAAAAATTGCCGGGCTATGTCCTACAATATAACATGCCAGTGTTATATTATTTAAATAGTATTAAATTAGCTATTAAGGCTCTAGCAATCCATATTGATAGTTATTCACATTCAAAACATGAAAGTAACACAAAACTGACATAAGCATGCTTATCACTAAATCCAAATATTATACAAACTATCTTAAACTGACTTACAGCTTTATTGGGATCTGCAAAATCAATTCTGAGCTGTCCCATGGCTCGGATTATTGCCATAAGACTCTGTATTGTGTTGCTGTATACCACTGGTTTATATTGCTCGCATTCTTCTTTACTATATCCAGTTTCATGAATAATTTTCATCTGTTTTACAATTGTGGATTTGCCCGACTCGCCAGCACCTTGAAATATGTTCATGAAGTTCAGTCTCAATGCTCTTATCATTTCACATGATGTATAGTAGTTCATTCATAATATTCATGTTTACCAAGTTCTTACACAAATGCATGATTCTTAAAACTTATTAGTATTCATTCTTTCATTCATTCACACTTCCCACTCTTCAACATATCTTTTCCGATTCTGAGAAAGAGTCTCTATGTCAGGAAAAGATAGGTACTTGTGGAGTAAATGACTACTATGTGAATCATCTTTTAAATGTGGGTGACACAGCTTGTATCAGATATATCATATAGATGTTCAATGCTATATGCTATGTGAAGACACAACTGGTGTGCTTATCAGTCACAAAGGTAAACTTTTGAACAAATACCCTGACTCATGCAACCCAAATGGAATTTCCTGGGTTGGATTATATTAATAGAAAGTAACAGAAGTGGCTTCTTTATATTATTATTAAAAGTTACCCATTACATGGCTTATGTACCCATTCAATTTTTATGTGAACCAATGGAGAAACTTGTGAAATTCTTTTAATGAATGTCGCAATTTTCTAATATACTACAAAGTCACATTATTATCTGCTTTGCATAAAATAATACGAGCGTGTGCATCTAATTAAATTAACGAAGTACTATTTTTCCAGAAAAATGCAAAGTTCATTGTAAACATACTTTAAACAAAATTCGAAAATGAAACTAATAACAACAAATTATCTAAGATCGTTGACCACGTTTATTGTTGTTGATTTTTAATGCAAAAACTCGCAGCTTGCAATATACGATCGTCGCGAATATTTCATGCATAACGAAAACGGTAGCAAGTATACGTGCCAAATATTGCAAAAACGACAAACTGATAATCATTGCACAATAATCCAGAGATAGTCATAAATAATTCATTAGTTGCAAATGCTAATCGAAAAATATAATAAACATTACCACAAGGGAAATTACCATTCGATGAAATGCAAAATGGAAGTGGGAATTAATTAATAAACAATTAAAAAATAATAACAACAGAACATTTTCTCGACGAAGATCCATATACGTCGTGCAGCGCAATCTTCTCTTTTATATAATTCGCAGAAGGAGTGTCACTGAATCATACTTCGAATACTCGAACTAAGCTAACCGGGTGTTTTCAAATCAATTACCAATGATTGTTTATAATTAAACTAAACTAATTAACAATACCGTATCAATTGCAATAGAATTAATAACTAAATTCAGGATATACACAAATTTTCAAAACAATTCTCAATAAATTACAACGAACTCAGAAATTCAAATTCTCCTCATGGAAGTGGCCGTTGTTGCCCCAACCTGAGAAGTCCCCCTTAACAAATATCGATATACAATCATACAAATTGACGACAAAGAATCAAAAAACATGATTATAAACGATGGACGTGTAATAAAAGAATAATGGTGATTACCGAGCAGTAAGAGTTTGACCTCGCTGGCAGCGCGTTCGCCATCGGCTCGAAGGTCCTTGTCGATCTTCTTCGAGCGTTCGGCGGCTTCCTTCTCACCGGTAGTACTCACGGCACAGCCCATCCTCTACGAAGGAGGATCGGGTTAAACCGTATAATTTCGAGGTCTCCTCTTTCGAATGTCTGACACTTGCTGCTCGGCCGTGGGAACCGCCCGCCTTTCTTCGGCACACCGACAATAAGAGCGACAATAATGGCACCAGGTAAGGAACGCGCACTTAGAATCTATCCAAACGATGAAAATCCTGCACCCTTTCACTTGGCAAGTCCACTCGATTTTTTCAAATTTTTCCACTCCTGACAGTTTGTCCAGGTTTACGTGCAGCTGCGTGCAATACAGCGACGCGCCCACGATTCGCCGTTGGTCGTTTTGCCGACGCGCAGACGCGATATCTTTTCCTTTCTGTCCCTTTCCTTCCTTTTCCGTTCACGATGGAGAAAACGGGACTGACTAATCACAATGTCGGACCCCGGGCCCGCAGTAGCTGCCGCCATCTGAAGGCCATCTTTGAAAACGACGCCATGACACATGTCGCGACTTCCCGGTTTATCAAGAACTTTTTTTGTATTCTTTAAGAATTTATGATTAGAAAAATATTAATGGTTATAGAATCACAGACTTACTTGCATGTATTATCTGCTTTCAATTAATATATAAATATTTTATATGAAATCTTTGCAATATGTCGTTTTACTAAGAGAGTAATATGTTAGAAAATCAAAATTTACTAAAGACTGCTAAAGACTGGCCGCACTCTTGGATTTTAGTTAGTAATAATATGATTTTATACCATTCGAAGCGTATACAATGTTTCAATACGCACGCTTACTGATTGGCTGAAATAATTCACGTATTGGAGTCAAATCCGAAAAATCAAGTGAAGAAGAATCGAGGGATAATGAAAGAATAAATCAGCTGTCTACGCTCTGGGAGAACTTTCGTCACTTATCGCTGTACACTTGTGCACAAGGCTCAATTATCATAGAGAATTTTAAATTTTTACACTAACCTTGGTCATCGACCCTTTCAGAGATCATATATTTATAGGATCATCACACGACTCGTACATTCATCATAAATATATGTTTATTCACGTCCCAACTGACATTTACAAAATGATAACGAACACCCTATTGCAAATCACTCTCCATATTTTTAATTTACAAACTAGAAGACAGTGTACAGCATCAGTTTAAACACCATTTTATTATTCATCAATACATTAGGATCAAGTCAGTCATATAATTAATCTACTATCATTCACTGTCATATTACTATAATGAATACAGTTCTAGATTAAGCTCATATAAAGTTTCATTCACAGACACGTGTAACCTTGTCCGCATTCATATCTTTCTCCTAAAACCTAAATATTATACGGCTAACTGTTACAAGTAAAACGTACCGGTACGTGCATGGTAATTGTGGCTGGTCTAATTTCATTCAATTGCTCAGCTTATTAACTTAATCTATATATAAAGCATCTAACTACACCGTCGAATGACTCCTATCGCTTTCGCACTCCCCATGCACTTTATGGTTTGAATATTTGAAATATTCGCAATAGGAAAAAAAGAAATATTAATTGTCATTCGTCGCACACAGCACAAGTTAAGTCCATCGTGTACAACAAAGGAAAGTTAATTGTACAAGATACCATTGTGAAACGGTTTATTTATCTGGACCTATAAAATCAATGTCAATGCAGATACCGTTGATGTTCCCTCTGGCAGTGCAAGAGAATATAAGTTGCTGCTACTCCGGATGCAAAAACAGGCCCCAAAAGGTAGAACCCACCAAACCAGTATATGGCAAGTACTTCATTTCCTATTCTTCTTGCGTGGCAGATATGCGAAATGGATATCCAAGCTATTAGAATTCACAATAAACCTATGGAATCGCGAACCTTCTCGAGATTCTAAATAAATACTTCATTCCTACTCTAGTTATTATCTTTGTCTTACAATAAAATCTTGCTGTCATATCATTTTACGTATTGTTCGTTTAATCACGCATATAGTCCTTCATTTTTATGTGGATCGTCTATTTTACAAGATCGGATTGTCATCTTTGGAAAAATAATTAATAGTTAATGAAATTCGTACCGCATAGACTGATAGTTGGGGATTAAAACATTCTAGTTTGTGTTACATACGGACCGAGTGCTTTGATATCCTATGTATTATATTTTCAGATATAATCGATCGCCGATAAGAGATCCAACGTTCGTATCCAAGCTCACGATACACGACGCCTTACGTCACTCATATGAATGCGATCGCACGTCAGTCTCACTGGTCTTTATAGTCTGAGGAAAATAGTAGTCGCGAATCTCAATATCACGCAAAGTGTCACATGGAATATTTTCATACGATCTGCGTTTAACGAAAATTTGTAAGTTTTACACAATTGTTTGCTGTTACCATGATATAAGCTGCAATCGATAAGCGTTATTCTGTCTTGTAAAGTACATGGAGTCTGATACGAATTGATTAAAGAAGAGTTTCAGAGTAATTCAGAGATACTGTCACAGTGTTTCTATAACAGTACAAGGAGAACGCATGTAAGACTATGAAGTATTTATTAATAGTCAAAAAATATTTATTTGCAAAATTATTATTTATTTCAGAATATGGCAGCACAAGCCGATTCTCTATTTGAGTACGTGCTCATTAATTATCGATGGATCTTCGTTATATTCTTCTTGCTTCCGTTATCTTTGCTATTTGAGATCTTCAATTGTACGAGGAACTGGATAGTCTTCAAATTAAGCAGCGCGCCTAAGCAACATGAAAAGAAAGTGCGAAATATTCAACGACAGGTAAGTGTACTAAGTAAATATGCTCATATTTACTTTTTTTTAATAAAAATAATTAATTGCGCTCAGAGCCACCTTTTGGCCACGTGAGGCTTAATACAAGTACTAGATAATTGATATTGATTACGTCATTACAGTTCTCCAAGTATATATGTAATAGTGCTGAGGAGTAATAATTATATTATAATTTCAATTAATAAATTCCACGTTCATGTTAATTTCAGATAAAAGAATGGAGAAATTCTGGAGCAAATCAACAAATGTGTACAGCTCGTCCAGGATGGCAAACCATGAGTTTTCGACAAGCACGGTACAAGTCATCTATGTTCAATGTGAATATCAATATGGTTGATGTTCTAGAAGTGAACGTTGAAAAACAGGTATCGAAATGTCTAATTAAAAAATTATATAATTATTGTATTAAAAATATTTTTATAAAATTTTAGTACGTTCGTGTAGAACCTATGGTAACTATGGGACAATTATCAGCTACTCTAGCACCATTAGGATGGACAATCCCGGTGCTTCCCGAAATCGATGACTTGACAGTAGGTGAGTTCCTGTAGGAAGGCATATGAGTTTATGAATATTTCATAAAATGTTTGTTGACTAAGCAATTTTTTATATAGGAACAGAAAATTAAGCTAGTTTTAATGTATTTGGTTTTATTGTATAGGGGGTCTCGTAATGGGCACTGGAATTGAATCCAGTTCGCATAAATTTGGTCTCTTTCAACACATTTGTCGTAATTTTGAAATTGCACTGTGTGATGGTTCTATTATCAATTGTTCCAAGGATAATGATCCAGATTTATTTTACTCAATACCATGGTCACACGGTACACTTGGATTTTTACTATCTGTGAACTTGGATATAATACCGGCTGAGAAATATATAAAATTGGAATACGAGCCTGTTACGAGTTTAAAGGATGCTTGCGAGGTATTCAAAAGACAAACTTATAAGAAGGATAATAATCAGTTTATAGAGGGTCTCATGTTTTCGAAGGACAAGGGTGTCATTATGACAGGTGAGATAATTAATTATACGAAGTTTTCCTTTTTTAGGTAATTTAATTATTGATAATTGGAAAATGATATTGAATTGGATTTTTTAGGAAATATGACGTCACAAGTTGAAGAACATCTCGTGAATCCAATAGGCAGATGGTACAAGCCCTGGTTCTTCACGCACGTTGAGAGCAAATTCAGAAATGGTTCAAAAGTGGAGTACATCCCTCTGCGAGATTATTATCACAGACATACAAAATCCTTGTTTTGGGAATTAAATGATATTATTCCATTTGGAAATAATCCTTTGTTCAGATATCTTTTAGGTTGGATGATGCCACCTAAGGTGGCATTACTGAAACTCACGCAGACTGCAGCAACTAAAAAACTTTATGAACAAAATCATATTATCCAAGATATGTTGGTTCCTATAGAAAGACTAGAGGAGAGTATTTTGAAATTTCATAATGCAGTTCGGGTTTACCCATTATGGCTTTGTCCATTCAAACTCACACCAGAACCAGGATTGGTAAATTCGCGAACCTCAAAGGATGAAATGTACGTTGACATTGGTGTTTACGGTGTCCCAAAAATAAGTAATTTCAAAGCTGTAGAAAGTACCAGAGACATTGAGGAATTCGTTAGAAATGTTAAAGGCTATCAAATGCTATATGCTGACACTTACACTACTAGAGAAGAATTTCGAGAAATGTTTAATCATTCCTTATATGATAAAGTCCGAGAAAGATTTCAGTGCAATAGAGCATTCCCAGAGGTCTATGATAAAGTCAATAAAAATGCACGAATTTAATATTAATATTTCAATACATTTTTCAAAAAATAACACTATTGTATTCTTTCAATAAATTTTGGTAATCAACGAAATTTCGGATTTCCTCAATTGTATTCCTTTACGATACAGCTTTCGTTAAGCTATTAGGCAGTAACAATTATAAGTTAATACAGTGTTTATTTTCTAGCTAGTACTATAGTAGCGAATATCCTTCCATAGTTTTTCTGTGTTTTGAAATCTAATTTAATCATACATAGCAAAGGCAAATTGTCCTGACTTTATTAAGACAGTTCAGTGACAGGGAACGATGTTCCAGTAAGATGGTCTCCTTGGTATATCTTGTAAGTATTAATTTAAAATTAATAAAAATAAAGCTTAATTACTCCATAATAAATTCTTTATAAATTGTTCCCCTTAGTTTCTTGCATGCGCGCTAATCACGACGAACGCAACGGAATTTAATGTGACTTCAACATCCACCGAGTATTTGGATAACCGTTTGAAGGAGGTCAAAGTTGAAATAGCCAAAGCTCACAATGAAGAATTTGCACCAGGTACAAAATTTCTCACAGTTTTCACTTTTATCATTCCAAGAGATATTTTACAATTGCCATAACAGAGCTATTAATGCTTTGAGGCACGTAGAATAAACTGCAAAATAAAAGAAGTAGTAAAAGAAAATATATTTTGGTAATCACAGACAGGCCAAGTATCTACAACGTACAGTGGGAACGATTATGGAGCAAATCATTAAGCACAAAACACGCAATGACAGTGAATATGTTTGAGAAAACATTCGTTCTGGATGGAAATCGTATAATGTCGATTGCTATAGAAATTGATCCAAAAAACAAGAACTCGACTCTACAGGAAATTTCTATAATTCGTCAGGAACAAACTGTCAAATTCATAAGAGTAAATGATAATTCCCTATTACGTTATGAGTATTAGAATTTCATTATTAATTATTGTACAATTGATATTATTTTTGTTATTGACAGAGTACTGTGTGGAAGAACAGTCTGTATTTTCTAGTATGCCAGGAATCTGGACCATGTAGTCTTTATACTGGGAAAGTGACAAAGACACAAAATTTAGTATTAACATATCGACATACTATTCGCAATAAAGGTACTTTTGAGGATGCTGCTTTTTTCACTCAAAATAATCAGCTGTATTTAGTAGTTGCCGAGAATACAGGTCGATACACAATGCCTTCGGTGTGAGTGAGATATTAAATTTTGAAGTATTTTTATTAATAGTAATTAATATCTTATATTAATTATTGATTGATTAATTACATAGAATTTATCGTTGGATGGGCACTTATATGGATATCATTGAAGAAGTAATGACAACTGGAGCAGTATCAGTGACAACGTTTAAACATAAACATTCAGAGATAATTATTTTTGCACAAAATGTTAATGGCAATCCAAGGATTGGATCTGGAGTTTATCGATTCAAAAATGATGTGTTGGAAAATATTCAATTTTTGGCAACGGATGCTCCGCACTCTATACAACATTATACTCATATGGATTCTACTTTTGTACTTGTCGTTAATGAGAATAAACCAAGTGACGTATTTTGGTGGGATGGTAATTGACAATCATTTGACTTAAATCATTAATTGTCAATTCGATTTGTAATTAAAATTTCTATCATAGGAAAGGAATTACTCAAGTGGATGGAAATTGTTGATATCAAATCACCGAGCATTGTTAGAATTATTCACACTATGGAGGATACATTGTTTTTTGTAGCTTACATGGTAGGAATTACTTAATTAAAATCTTATACCTTTAATCAAATTTCACTTTAAAGTGTATTTTACTTATTTCTGTTTCAGAATACTGTTCAAGTATATCGTTTACTTAATGCAGCATATACAAAGTTAGATCCTTTTGTATTAGAAGATCGAATACGAATAACTGATATGGATATTTGGATGAATGATAAAATCATTACACTGATTCTAGTCACGTTGGGACCGAACAATCTTCATCACATAGAACCATTAGATTTAGTCATCAAAAAAATTACGAACGGTATGGAGCAAATTTAATTGAATTTAATTCGATAATGGCATTAATGATTTTATTTTTTTTAACAGGATTATTGAACCAAAAGATAGAGTCAGCTTTTAAATGCTTGCAAAATTTGGCAGATCGCTTAAAGGAAAGAATGCCAAACGTAGAAGAGGCCAAATCATTATGGCCAAGACTTTTGTCTTCTTCAGAAAATATCAATATTACAGAATCCATAAAATTTACAGATATGATACTCAAATCCGGAAGTGTAAAAAACACAGACGTGTCGATCACTGAGGAAATCATGAGACCTAGTGAAATTTCAAATAATTTGCAAACTCTTAAAAGCACTGCTGATAAAATTCTTTTGGAATCTCAAAAAACCGTGCAGAAAAACAAACCCAATCTGTTCACAGGAAATATGGTCATTCGATCAAATGCATCTTTTAACGAGCTGCATGTAGATTCATTGGAAACGAATTTCTTTAATAATGAAAATATCGATTTCAAGCAAATTATATCCCGTAGTAAAAAGCAAGAATTTTCAGAACCTCTAAAAGGCAAACACGTTATCATAAATACTTTATTAATGGAATCCCATTGTGGAATTCCTTTCCAATGTAAGTATACAATTTTTAATCGGTTTTGAATAACATTTTCAATGCATGTAATATATGGATTATTAAACAATTATGTAATTTTCAATCACAGATTGGAGTCAGAAGGACAAACCATGGCGAATGTCATTGAATAAAAGTGATAGGAATATGGATTTTATAAATAATACTATTCTCATAAAATCTAATCTAAACGTCAATGAACTTAGAGTTCATAAATTGAATAATGTTCAATTAGAGGAATTTTTCGATGATCTGTTTATACCAGGTTACAGACAACACATAACAGGTATTTTTTTTAACATAGTAATAAAATTTCAAATTTTACTGTTTGTTAATAAACAATTTTTCTTTTTAATTGTGAACGAGCCTGTATACATATATATTTATCATAAATTATATCCCCAGGCAATATCATTTTCAAAAAAGCTCTTAAAGTAGTGAATCTTACTACGGAAACTTTGAATGGAATACCGTCAAATCATTTGATTACAAAAACAACAGATCAACAACTACAGAATGTGTACATAAAGTCACTAGGTGTACAAAATCTTGTGGCCGACACTATAAATGGCGTCCCTGTGTCTCAGGCTGCTATGACTACAAAGAAAAATCATATAAAAGGTAAGATTACTTCTTCAATGATTTAAAGAACAAAATATGTGTCTTAAAAGAAGAAAGTAACTCAATTGCATCTTGTGTTTCAGGCGAAGTGATAATGTCAGATCTCGAAATTACCGATGAGCTCATCTATGATAGTAATGGCAATTTTTCAGAAATACGTCCAACATTCATTTACGATGATGTGACAATTCTTGGCGATCTGATCATAAAAAATCTTGATGTAAAATCCAAAAATTCTATTATACTTCGCGGAAAGGAGATCAATATCGAAAAACTGTTTAACACTTCATGGACAAAATCGAGCAACCAAGTCATCACTAACAGTATTACTTTAAAGAAAGGTGTAACGATTGATAATCTTCAAACGAAATATCTAAATGGACTCACTGAGGATGATTTTCTTTATACGACAATGAAAGAGATACCTGAAGATTTTGGAAAACTACATTTTCATAGTTTTGAAACTGGCGGATCATTATTTTCTGACAAGTCCAAGCCGAGCTATTATTTATTTGCTGGAGAGTCGTTAATAGTAAATGCAAAATTACACATAGAAAATCTGACAGTACGTCATTTATATACAAAGTTTTTCAATAAATTTCCTGTTGACAGTTTGGGTAAAAATATTGTAACGGAATTCCCGCATGACGTGGTTTTCGAAACTGTTCTTGTAAATGATTTCGTTAGAGCCGATCAAATGTCTATTTCGTCTCTGAATGACGTGCACATGACTGAATTTTTCAAAAAAGCAATTTACGTGGATGGTAACTACAATATGGAAACTGTGAACGTCCAACAATTTAATGTTTTCAATTTTAACGTCGAAAATATTAATGGAAAACTGCTGAATGACATTTTCGCGATATTCACTCAAAGTCATTTGGCTTTACAAAATTTGAGTATCGATGGCAATTTGGAAGTAGAGGGAAATTTGAAAGTTAATTACATAAATGACAATGAAACTGAAGACTATTTAAGTATGATCGTATCGACCGATCATGTTATAGCAGATGGACCATACATTATAGAAAATCTAACAGTTCACGGTGATATGTACATAAATTTTCTACATGGTGAGAAATTGGAAAATCTATTGTTAAACAAATTTTCGAAAACTCAAGAACAAACGATACCTGGATCATTTTCTTTCTACAATGTAAAATCCAATAATCTGACTGTAAACTTTATAAATGATTGTGATATGTCAAAGTTATTATTTATCGATCAGCCATTGATTTTCAATAGAAACGTTACATTCAATGATTTATTTATTAAACAAGATGTCTTTACAACGGTACTAAACAACAACAATATTACTACGGTAATTTAACAATTATATCTAATAACTGTTTGTTGCTATTCCCAATTTGATAATTGTACTTTTTATTACAGCTATATGACAATTTATTGTTCGTTCCATCAACGAATATACATAATTTAACAATAAATGGAAGACTCTCTTGGGAGACGTTGGCGTCAAATGAGAATTCTCTTTCTTATTTGTACGAAAATGCCGTGACGAGGAATACAAATCAAATTATTCTACAAGACACAATATTCGTGAACAATGTATCAGCTGTGGATGTTCAATCGGATGAAAATCTTGCAAATTTAAGTATTGTTGATATCGTATCCGATTCGGTCCTTTCAAAAGATAATACAAGCGTTGAGATAAGCGGTAGAAAAGTCTTCAATAACGACTTGTCTATGGAAAATTTAAATGTCATCAACAATACATACGTACTTAGTATAAATGGAGCAGATATACGCTATATAAATTCCTCTATTGTTAAGAAATTCAATCAAGAAACAATAACGGGACCTACGATATTTAAAGGAGATGTTACGATTGGACGTCTTTTTGTAAAAAGTGGTAACGTTCATGGTAGGCCTATCAGAGGATTAGTTCAAAATACGGATATTTTGCCAAACGGGATAGTTTTTCAAAATCTCGAGATAAAGGGTCGTCTAATATCAAAAATGTTAGATGGCATAGATTTTCAAGACTTTATGGCAAATCGAGTTTCTCTGAGTGGTGATCATCAAGTTTTTGGAAACTTTCAATTTAACAAACGAATAGTAGTAACGGGTACGTTTTAAAAAATAGTTTTTAATAAATGGGAATAAAATCAATAACAAATTGATGTTATTAAATTGTTTTTCAGATAATGCAGTCATTGACACGATCAATAATATAACAATGAGCGACTTGATTGTCAATGGAAAGAAGGAAGAACAAATAATTTATGGATCAAAATTATTTTCAAATAACTTAATTGTTCATGGACATATGTATGCTCCATTAATTAATAATATGGATATTGTGAACGAATACAGAAATGGCATAGTGAATGATGACTCTGTTGATATTTATGGTGATCTCGTGAGTATAAAAGTATAGTTAAAGAAATTAAAGTCTGTTTTTGTTTCAAGTATTGTTTACATAATTTATGCACATTTGTAGGTTTTTCAATCAAATGTTGACATTCGGCCAGGAACAAATGTCTCTGGTTATCTAAACGGAATGAGTTTGCATCGCGTTAATGATGAATTTGGCAGCGAAGTCCAAGGAAGTCTTGTAGAATTGAAACGAAATGAACATCTTATAGAGAACACGATAACGAAATTTGTAAACGTTTCTCAGAGTTTGTCAAATATCTTCTTTTATTTAGAAAATGAAGAAAAATTAGAATTGAGAGTGCCAAACGTAGAACGCATTATCGTTAAATATATAGAATCTATAACAAAATTGAATATGTATGGAAACGAATTGGGTAGATATTGTGGGCTTCCGGATTCTTGTCCTTGTCCAACACAATACTCGGCTGAAATCTTAGATAAGGATTGTAAAATTTGGAAAAATAATGATTCTGAAATTCTGTACAATTTTTATGAGCCAAATGGAGCTTTTGGTATAAACATTTTCACGAATTCAATATCAAGCAGCCGAGAATGCACTGGAAATGATCCGAATAAGGAATTTATAAAAATAGCTTGGATGACACCAAAAGCTGATTATAAAGAACAATTAGGAGAAGGTTTGGGAGTAAATTTTCAAACAACGCTGCTGCGACAAGGTTTTGTAAAGGATGTCGAAGTACTAACTTATAATGGTATTCATAATTTAAACTAGAAATGTGGAATAGTTTTTACAATTAAATATGCCCTTTTCTGATTATTGTTTTTACTTATAGAGAATATATATATCATCTTGGCTATTTACTACGATGCCACCCAATCATCTCATCAATTGGAATCTCCTATCTATAAGCTAGATTGGACTACGAGGAAGATAACATTAGCTCAAAATATCAGTACAAATGGTGCATGGGCTCTTGAAACTTTTAAAATTCCTGGGCAGGGCCCCTACCTTCTTGTGGGCTGTTCGCAATATCAGGCTGAATCTCAATTATACAGAATTAATCCAATCAGTTCAAAGGTATGACATCCAAATTGCTTTATATTTTCTCTGTCATAATGAATTGTGTAAAGTTATATTATGTTTCTAGTTTGAACTTGTGAGAACTTTTGCAAGTGCCAGTCGCCATGTGAAGAGCTTGGTCCAACAAACAGACTACTTTATTCTATTAGACGATCCTGTCACCAATTCGGTTCATATATTTCAATATAACTTCGTCTTTAATAATTTCTACTTTTATCAAAATCTTTATTTTGATAGTAGAATCACTTCCATCGAAGTCTTTTATGCAGGAGGTAATTTCAAAATTAAACTTTTATTAAATGATTAACAAGCATACAATTACACACCATTTTTTTAGAATTCAAATCTAGTGACTCCTACATCATTATAACAACTGAAGAAGGGAAACTTCATATTTATGAATATATGTTTTTCGGGGTAATTATAATTTGCAGTTATTTCTAGCATAGTTTGATAATTATTAAATAATATTTAATTTTTTAGAAATTTCAACTAAAAACTGTTCACTGGGTCAATGACATCCAAACAGCAGTACCCTTCTATTTCAAAGGACACCGTTATGTATTTGTAGGCACCAAACAGTACAGTTCAGTATTTAAAATTGTTGGTCAAGGACCTGATTAAGTATGCAGGAACTTGTAATTCTTTGATGTATCAGTGATACATTTGTTATTAATTATTTATGTCTATGTAAATGTATATGGGTTTGTGCCGGAACCAAATTCAGGAATGTATCCTACTACATACCATATTTATTGAAAAGTATTTATATTATTTTATATATTGTAGTGATTCTATAGAATCCATTATAATCAGTGTTACGTAAAGATTAAATATATACATTGCAGCATGTGTAAGGTATCTTAATATTTATACCTGAACACAGACCATCAAATTAATATTCCGTTAGCATTGTTCAAACATGAATAGCATATATTATATATGTATATACAAACATTATTTTTTAAAACTATTTATACCTGAGTGCGATTCTTGCACCTCCCACCAATTGAAGGAAACTCATTGTAAATTATATCAATTTGTACAATCCATTCCACATTGTACAAATCATCACTTTCACCTACAGAGATATCCCGAAAATTTGTTCATGAAACAATTCAACCCCGCTATGTTTAAATTTTTTTTTATAGCCATTATAGTCAACTTCAGTAGCCAGAAATATCATCAGGAAAGCTTTTAAGTAATTCCGGGCGCTACGATCGTTTCGTAAAGTCTTGAGGTGGCGACTGGTTCTTTTTCGTAAAAACAAATCTCGCAATTTTGACTAATCATTACAATCATCGTCTGTCTTTTAGTCGCACGTATTCACTTTATCTTGAAGAATAACATCGAAGGTTTGTTTCTAATTGAAATTGCCTTTCTGCATTTTTTCTCTGTAAGTGTTTTTGCGGCTGTCACATATGCATGTGGTGCGGACACTTTAAAACCGATATACATATTAACCCACGGAAACATTGCCCTTTATCGTTCTAAGTTTTTCCTGGCAAACATCCATTTTGTGTTATTTTTTATTGAAAACTATGTTTTTAAATCGTTATACTGTAACTTTATTTTCTAAGTTTCCATGACATTGCGCAGATCATCTTACAGATGCCCACGTATTTTTGTGGTTAGGTTAGTGCAGGATGAATCGTCATGTAGACACGACACTACATTTGTTTCAATCTCTCAGTTAATATAAATTTTTATTGAAATTGTATATAATTTCATGTAATATTAATGCTAATGGATTGTCACTATCTTTGTTCTATTACCTATTTGTGGTTAGGATAATTTGTATGCATCGTAAACTTCTATACGTTTGTGTCATCTTTATTGTTCTGTGTAACAACTACAAGCATTGTATCTTAAAGAATACATTTTGATATTAGTATAGATTGTTCTTAATGATTTTACATTCACAGGAATATCTAACATAAGGAAAAAATGGCTGTCAAGGGACTGGTTGCATCCATTGTTCAATTTCTAACTCAGCAATTAGAAGATGGTGACTTAACAGCAGATTCTCGTGAGAGTCTGGAGGTTGCAATTCAATGTCTGGAAAGTGCTTATAACGTGCAGGCATCAGATGCGCCAGCAAACTTGAATTTGCACGATGTGTATAAAGCAGCTATAGACAGTGCAAAACCTAATTTAGGTCCAGTGGCTAGTCCAGAGGCAAAAGCCGAGGCAGAAAGACTCAAGAATGAGGGTAATGCTCTCATTAGAGCAGAAAAGTATCATGAAGCTCTTGTGAATTATACCAAGTAAGTAATCATTGTGTTAGGTTGATTGTAAGTAGAGGTGAACCAAATAATTTGATTACCTTCCTATTCCTTATATAACTTTTGTATCCAGAATAACCTTAGGAGATGTACTAACTCAAAATTCAGGTGAATTTCTGTTTACCCAGAGCGATCCAGTTGGATGGACACAATGCTGTGTACTACTGTAACCGAGCAGCAGTTCACTCTAAGATCGGAAATCCTCAACAAGTAATCAAAGACTGTCAAACCGCACTTTCAATTGATCCCTCATATAGCAAAGCTTATGGACGTTTGGGTCTAGCTTACTCCAGTCTGGAGAGACATAAGGAAGCTAAAGAGAGTTACCAAAAGGCATTAGAATTGGAGCCAGACAATGAGAGCTATAAGATCAATTTACAGCTTGCTGAAGAAAAATTAGCTCAACAAGGAGTCAGCAACATGGGTCTTGGTGCTAGTAATACAGCACCAGGATTACCTGGCATGGACCTCAGTTCGCTCTTAAGCAATCCAGCTCTAATGAACATGGCACGTCAAATGCTTTCTGATCCTACCATGCAAAATATGATGAGCAATCTAATGAGAGGAAATAATGAACAAGGAGGACGTATGGATGCCCTTATTGAGGCGTAAGTATTAAAATTCATCGTGCATTCTACGTCTTTACGATAAGGAACATCCTGTTAATGCCTTGATTATTTGCAGTGGACAACAATTAGCACAACAAATGCAGAGTGCCAATCCTGAATTAATTGATTCACTGCGACGTCAAATGGGTGGTAATCCTAATGACCCAGAGCCACCCCAGAAAAATTGAACGGAATATGACTTCCCAGATACCCGCGGGTTATGTCAGATATTCTGTAACGAAGACAATGCACGATAGGATTCCACTAAAATATTGAATTTTTCAGTGGTAACAATCGTTTTCCATAAACACTTCCTAAATCACATAGTCAAGATCATTAATTCTGTCTTGCCGCTATCGTTACCCGACCTTCGCCTCATTCCCCCCCCCTCCACATATATTATCTTTACAGTATAAAGAATCTTATAATTTAGATTAAGCAAAGTGCAAGCCTTTTCAAGAAGTATATCTGTGTAAAAATCTTATGGATTAAGTTTATGATCAAGGCCCTTTGATCTTGCAATATTATAAAGTACATCTAAAAATCATTCCTCCAGTTAAATGCCATGATTCGGGATAATTTATCAATCCAAAAGAAAACTTACGCATATATGTATAACAGAAAATGCTGTATTCATAAGCAATTCCGGCAATATTAGAAAAAGTGTTGAGAGGCTTTATGAAGGCCTAAGGATACATGCTTAATCAGTGTTATCATCTATTATTGTAAATCACGTAAAAGCTGGGCAAGCATCTTAAATTCAGCATAATTCATCTTACTAGTACTCGACACTTTTTCTACTATAGTATTTGCAGGAATGCAGAGAAAAATTATTCATGGTTGTTAAGTTACAAAGCATTATGAGAGACACATCAGTGAAGGAATTACAATTGTATAAATGAGAACCGTCGTAGTAATTAATATAGAATACACGAACTATGTCGGGAGTCTGGGTAAAAAAATGGATTCAAGATACAAGGCCCTGGGACTCGATTTTCCTATAATGATCTCTCGTACCTAGGGTTTGTATTTTTCATTTCATAAAATTGGGATAAATAAATATCTCTCGTTTTACCAGAACTACAGTTTATCGTAAAAAACTAAAGAGAAAAAAAATCCCATGTCAAAACTTTTCTCCAGCGTGTCCTGACGAATAGCAGCAGGAAATAAAGTTCGTTGATTCCTGACATGCGTCATCCTATGACATCATTTGCGTAGAGCGAATGTTTTTCTCAACGTGCGTACACTCAGCTGCAACCGTAACTGAGGTCATCATCCAATACGTACCGAATACGGAACCAAAGCATCAATGATTCCTTGTAAATAAACCACAACTTGTGGTCCAACGAGATGACATCATTGGGAAATACAATAATATCATCTATAAGATCTTAAAGATTAGAAAAGAAGAATGAGGCGGCAAAGGATTAACCAAGACGTAGAAAGTCTAAGCGAAGAAAGTTAGTGAAGCCAGGACAAATATATTTTCCAATCTTATCGCTGACGCCTATGAGCTGCTTTTTTTCTGTCTGCATGTCAGCTTTGCGTATACGATTTCGTGGAATTGAAGAGGCGTTGTTATTTCTAATTACTACGAGGAATAAGAATGGACTCTTGTTTATGAATAAAACCCACTCAGGTTGGCTAGTCAGGCCAATTTTTTCATGGCAAGAATATCGTTTTATGCAGAATAGTAAGCATCTAGTTGCGTGCTAATAGCTTAGTTACCGGTGGCGCTACGCAACGGGACATTACAACATTATTTACATATTTTTCCAACCCCTTTCCGTACCAAATACACACGGGAATGGTGCGTGCGCAAAGCTTCTTCATAGACTGTGACGTGACGTTGGTGGTACATGATTCGCCGGATTCGGAAGACCGATCAGGAACGTGAAAGAGTGGTAACTAGTGTCGCCCTTTACGGACTGCCCCATAATATATAAATTAGGTAACTATTAACAATTGTTAAAAAAATAATATTAAATTGTATCGGAAAATAGTTATACACGACTCATGTCTTCTGCGCATTGAATACTGGTTATGGGACGAATACATTTTATTCAAAATTCGATTGAGACCGTTATGAAAATGTTTTTAGAAATTATTTTAATTACTTGTACTGTTTGTGAAAATAACGTTGTTATTTTGTATACTTGAACAGAGAGGAGGAAAGAGGTATAGTTTTATTGGTGTAATATATACATTGTAGGACTTTATAATGTTGCTGATGACAGTGAAATTAATACATGGTCTTGTGTGACTTTATTACAGTCCTGGTACTGGCGCCCCCACCTATGCGCTTCCCGCAACACTCAACAGATTGAGGTGTGGCCACAGAGGGCAGCCATTTTCTTGACTATCTGTCGCATAAGATTTCAGGTAAATACGCAATTATATTCTAAGTAAGGCTGGCTGGAGTAGTGCGAGGGTGTGCTGTGTCGTGTGGTCCCGTATTCTGCGCGCGACGCGTGCCGGTTTGCCAAGCCGGGTGCAGGAAAGTTCGTAGCGTGAGAGCGTCGAAAAGCTCTGTCCGAGAAGGAGCAGCGAGCGAGTGGCCTGTGGGTTGCGCGAAACTTCAGCATCTCCGTGCCAAAAGCAGCTAATTCGCCGCCATAAACGGCAGGCTTGACCTCTCGTATTGCCGATTGGTATGACTCACGAGGTTCAACGCGCTAAGAGGCTTTAGTTCTGTAAGTAAATCGTCCCCGAGGATTCCGGAACCCTGCGTCGCCATCCTATACCGCACCCCCAGCGCCATCCTTCTACTTTTTCTCTCACGCGGCAATGCACTGTCCGTACATATCTTCATAAAATTTCTGTTTCGCAAGCTGTACTCTCGTTTTGAAAAACTAAAGTTTTCCCGTACGCCTTCTTTTACGGTACGGATTCATTTTGTGCTCATCACTTTTACGTGAATAGTGTCCTGTCACTGCGTCAACAACTATCACATCAAGTTTCCTGCCACGAGCTTCTAGCGACTCATTTTGTGCATCTGGACTATTTCCAATGTGAATTGTCTTGTGCAGGTTACAGATTGTAATTCTTATTATTGTACCGATGGTCTGGAGATTGAGAATTTATTGACTTAAAAATATGTACTGTCGAGTCTTGATAACTTAACGTATCCGTGTGTGTATCCGTGTCTAGGACTGTGTTTCACAAGAGACACAGTAAATATTTTTCTTGAAGAGTTTTTTTCCCCTTATTGATACTCTTTTTATGATTGAAATATTATTCTTACATGGATTCAGTGATTAATTATTTCTGTTAAAAATATGAATTCTTTAGATATTTTCTTGCAAAGGTTTTTGGACTGTAGATTTATTGCTATTGTCGTTGCTCATATCTCAAGCTTATCAATCTAAAGTCTCACTTTGTATCTTATGTGGGTGAATCAGTATTGATTTCACTATGTGACCAATACAATAAGCCAATGTTATTTATGACAACGTCATGAATTCTTCTTCGTAACTGTTTGCTACATCACCTGTGTGCCATTACAATTTTGTACCTATAGTTTTGAGATACAATCAATTGGTTAATCTTTAGCCATATTGCAATGTATTTATTCATGAGATATCACTTTTCCAATTTATATTATAAATATTAATGTCAATGTAATTGTATTCACATTGTCTAAATCATTCATCTATCATAATTGTACACATTATCCAAAAAAGCATGTTTTATAAATCGCGTTGTCCCCTTCTGTTTTATGCATGACAATTTCAATAATTATATTCTATATCAACAGCATAAGGTATAGTCTTCTGATTTTACAAAACAGTATATTACCTTAATAATTATATTAAAACATTGAATAATTTTACAAGTTCTCAGTTAACAGTTTTTCTATATTTCAAACGAGATTTGATCATTGACTAATTCAAGACAATACCTTATGTTACTACGTGTTTGCTGTACTATAGTCAACAAATTTTGACAGAAGAAAATAACATGCAGCCATTATATGTTAAATTTCCATCTAACCCCCTTAAGATTCAGGGCAATCAGTTCGCACAAATATCATTACATATGCCAATTTAAATTTAATTTTTGACACTAAAAGCAGTCAAGGTGAAGAGCGAGACTGACAGTCCCAAAAGTGCATTCGACAGAAATGATACATAGTTCTGTAGACTTATATGTAACTTTACTTAGACATTAATTAAGTTTTGTGTGGTATTTGAATTGATCACGCAGCTCGTTATCCATTCTAACATATAAAATGTCCACTTAAAACAGAGACGCAGAAAGAAAGACTAAAAACATGGGATGCATTGTGGGCCGAAGCCTCGGTCCAGACGATACGGGGTACCCTGGATCAGGTACGACCCAGTCCATATCCTTTAAAGCTTCAGCCCTCGTAGGTCGCTTAATCAAGAGTATTTAAGTAGAGAAAAAGTTAAAAATTCAAAGCAGAAATTCTCTCACCAACTTACGGTACAGTTTATTCTTAAGTAATTTGTGAGAGCGCACGCACTAGATTATCAACGAAATGGAGCCGATGTAACTATACGATGACAACAATTTTATTAATGACACCAGCAAATGTATTAACAATGATAACTCTCAAAGAGCAAGTAGTAGCAACGCGTTTCGAATAATTAAGTAAAATCTCCCATTAGTCCAGTCGAGTGACGTCCTGTAGAAAATTTCTTGGAGGTTAGCTTTACTTCATAATGTAAGTGCTGCCAGTAGCATCGTTATCATCATTATCGTCATCTTGCTCTTAAAACGAAAGCTAAGGTCACGCGAAAGTCATAGCCAAAATGTAAAGAGCACTTTTTTCGCGCACGCTCCCCTATTAATCAAAATTTATTTTTTGATCGTACGAGGGTTATGCGCACTTCCAAATGTCCATCCCCAAACCTCACCCAGATACGATTTACCTCCATTACTTTTCCCATGATTTATTCCCGCAGGACTGCCGCTTCTTAAGCTTCATCCACACGCTTTGTAAAAGCCATATTACTACACCAAGCAAGGCGTAACTACCTCGTGCAAAGTATCAACCACTTCGCTATCCTGGAGGTGTCTCAATTATCCTATCCCGACGTCATTCTCCCTCCACCTGGACAATCCTCCTCGGCAAGGAAACCTACCTGTGGACTTTCGCTCATCCTTGCCCACTACCTCCTTCACTCTCGATTCTCGGGACACTTTATTCTCGGCGGCCAACGACGATTGCCTTGGCTCACATGCCATCGCGGCAAAGACTCGCGTGCTCCTAGTTACGTTATTTTTGGATGTGTTCCGCGGGGGCTACGATACTTCTCGTCGATCACCATAAAATTCAACAATCTCACCAAGCCTTTGGCACTCAGCTCCAAATCTTATTCCTTGTGGTATCTTATCTCAGGGAATGGGAACTCCGCCTTTATACGCATCCATCCACGTATACGCTCCTGTATACGCGAGTGTATGAACGTATAGAGACGTCTCCTCTGCACCATCAATGTTGTTTGGAAAATTAAGGAGATTTTTAAGCTAGATAGTAATTGCACCATACTATACATTAGTTTTGAAATTTCAAGATTTTATCTTTTGCTTTGTCCCTCAACGAGAAGTATCTATGCGTTCACTGTCAAGATTAGAGCTACTCAATGTCACTGTATTCTTTATTGTTATATCTGTATCGTTGCCTTGAAACGTATACCCATGATTTATTATATTTTTTCATAAATACTTTTCATGGATACGAAATTTATATTGGGGATCAGTCCCTCTGGGATCGCGCTGTTGGGTTTGCTAGACTTTTCAATTATTTCTTTCTAATAATAATCACTGTACGAAAGACGCTTTCGGTAGAAATAGACGCGCCTTCGAGATTTCTTACGATTCACGGTTAGTTTATCGTTCTGCGTTATATTCTAGTCGAATAAGCGCACGTCCGTGGCAAAAGGTAAGCTAGACGGAATATTTGGCAACTAACCAAAAGTCGAGAAAACTTTCGATCGTCTAATAGGAACTTAGACGTTTTACTCTCTAACTCGGTGATACTAGGTTAATTTTGCAGTGCCTCGTGGCGTGCGACGTGTTCTTATTGTTTCGTAGCTTTGATCTTCTCAAAACGATTCTTGGTAATTAACTGGGCTGAAACGATTCGCGATAAGCGAGTATCTGTGAAACGTTTATCTTTTACTTCTTTTTTTTTTCCTAGTAAGGAAAGCGCAAACACGTTTCAAAGAGCGTCAGGTTTCCTTCTCTCGATGCTCGAGTGTGTATTTTTATCTGCAAGTATCTGACAAAGGCAGACTTTGATAGGCGTCAGGCCGATTTTAACGAGAATTTTATAATGTGCAACTAGGTAGTAGTACGGTCGTCGCAATAATTGCCTGAGATAAATATTGTCTAAAACATTTGTTAACAGACCCTTTAGAGTAGATAGAAATTTGTCGGCGTGTAACGCAACTGTTATGAAACTATATCCCAGCCCTTCCTCGCTTCGTGAATTCTAACCCTTTTTTTAATCCACGTTTCCCTCATCTGTGTAGCTTTTCGATATTAATTGATCGAGTTAGCTCGCAAGCAGGATACTTGTGACCTTTATATCAGCTCGGTATTTTTGTTTCATTTACTTTCATGAAAATCTATATGGTATACACGCTGATCGGTCAGTGGAGCGTGGACCATTTCTTTGTTTTCTCTCTCCTTGTTCAGTTGAGATTTTTTCGCGTCAAAAGGGGAAAACAAATTTGAGGGCTTGCGATAACGTCCGTTTATTATGGGCACTAAAATGTGACGGGAGAAAATTATTTTAAAAACACGGTGCGGTATAGTTCAATCGATAGGATACTTGCACGTTATTCCATTAATTATAATGAGCACCAGTACAGCACACAAAGCCAATCAATCGGATGTTACATACATATATATATATAAAATATCTTAGTTTAAAGTATATACACACTTTTCATCATTATATTAGAGTACAAGAGACACGGTAGCATATCAGAGTGTTTATGGTGTACTGCATTAGATTAACACATCGACAAGGTGGGAAAGTGCTTGGCGCTTTTTGTGTCTTGCGACGCTTTAGTTTTTTGCACGGTTTTTTTTCTTTTCTTTTTTTTTTGTCTTTTATTTTGGATGGAGGACGGGGGAGTTTGCGGAGAACGAAGAGACGAGTTTGAAATAGGGAAAAAAATAAAAAGACGTCTCGGAGGAGATCGTGATAGGTCGAGGAAAACAGTGCACAGTTTGTAATATAAGCATTGGGAATGTGGGAAGCGTGTAAAAAGCGCATCGAGCCGGTTAATTATCCGCAGGGTGTATTAAAAGTAACACGACGTAATTCCTCTTTCCTTCAGGATTCATGGCGGCCATAAGGAAAAAATTGGTGATCGTGGGCGACGGTGCCTGCGGTAAAACGTGCCTGCTGATTGTCTTCAGTAAGGATCAATTTCCCGAGGTGTATGTGCCCACGGTATTCGAGAATTACGTAGCGGACATCGAGGTCGATGGAAAACAGGTAAGCCTTTGTTATGAAGAAGAAGAAAAAAAAAAAGAAAACCCGATAACGTTATATTCTAAGAAAAAAAAGAAAAAAGAAAGTAGCCAGCATGGACTCGTTCTCGCGCTCAAAGTTAATAGCGAATGTCTTTACGAGTGTGAATAATACAACGTATCATTCGTTACTTCGACAGGTGGAACTGGCCCTGTGGGACACAGCTGGGCAGGAGGACTACGACAGGTTGCGTCCACTGTCCTATCCGGACACGGACGTTATCCTGATGTGCTTCTCGATCGACAGTCCCGATTCCCTGGAGAACATTCCCGAGAAGTGGACCCCGGAGGTGAAGCACTTCTGTCCCAACGTGCCCATAATCCTCGTGGGAAACAAAAAAGACCTGCGCAACGATCCCACCACGATCAAGGAGCTCGGTAAGATGAAGCAGGAGCCGGTAAAGCCGGAGGAGGGCCGAGCAATGGCGGAGAAAATAAATGCCTTCGCCTACCTCGAATGCTCCGCCAAGAGCAAGGAGGGCGTTCGAGAAGTATTTGAAACGGCGACCAGAGCCGCGCTACAAGTGAGTACAAGCAATTGTTATTACATCTGGTGTCTCTGCGCGTACGAATAGCCTGGAGGTCGAGGCAACGAATCGTATGCGAGTATTGAAATGCCATTAATTGTTCTCTCGCAGGTGAAGAAGAAGAAGAAGGGAAGGTGTAGGCTGCTTTAAGGTGTATTATGCCGCGCGGGTCCGAATCGAGTAACATGGAATTGCGGAGCTAGCTGCACCCGACGCTAGTCGTGATGCCGGAGGCCCCAGCATAAACCAAAATAACATCTTATCTTTAATTATTTTACATAGTAAACAAAAAAAACAACAGAACAAGAGCCAACACTGAATAGATAGAGAGTGAGAGAGAGAGAGAGAGAGAGAGAGAGAGAGAGAGAGAGAGAGAGAGAATGGAAAAAAAAAGTAACGGGATAAATATGCAACGCGATCCGTCGTCGGGCGACGAAGACGTTCCGAAAAACATTGACGAGAATCAGTATATACAGTTATACAGACACGTACATATATGCACACACACACACACACACAACAACAACAACAACACACAAATTAAAGAAAAAGGAAAAAAAAAGAAGGAAACACAAAGATCCATATATTCTAATAATTACTCGATTGTATTTTTCAAAGTTAACGAATTGTGCTTCAAGTTCGAGCAATTAAAAATTGTCATACCAACAATTTATATAATTACGATACATAATTATCTTTATCATTGTAGTAATTATTATTATTACTATTATTATTATTATATTACTATTATATTATTATTATTATTATTATTATTATTATTATATTATTATTATTACGATTAATACTACCACACGTTCTACATTCTTTTTAATTATAGTTGTTCTTTGTTTCGGTAATAAACAGATTCATAGGTAGAGGACGGAGGGTCGAGTCGTGGAAAGAGAGAGAGAGAGAAAGAGAGAGTGAAAGTCTGTGTGCTTTATAGCGTGCAAATGTTTGAGCGACCGAATGAAAGTGCGCGCGCGCGTTTTTGTGTGTCTGTGTCTGTGTGTGTGTGTCTGAAAGAGAGATAGTGGTGGTGCTGGGTACGTATGTGTGTATTATGTACGTGGGCGCGCGTGAATAAAACGCTCGACGGATAATGCAGTGGGGTGGGAAGAGGGCGGAGAGGGAAAGGAAAAATTTTTTTCGTTTAAATATGTAATACGCAATGCAGAGTCGTGAAGATTTTTATCGCATCGTTAAAAACTGATAAGGTTTTGGGAGAGTGAGAGAAGGAGATAGGTGGGAGAAACAATTTTTTGCGCGGAATGAGAACCCGTACGGGGAATCACCTGTTGCGTCATTAATTAAAAACGTGCGAAACGTCGTGACACGTGTGGGGAGGAGGGGGGGGGGGGCAAGGAGAA